CATTGCTAGCAATATACATGTCGACCTCCACACGGTTAACCCCTAGAAACAATCGTGGTTAATTCCTGGTGAATTCTTCATGATGGTATAACTGATCTGACTTCATCTTCATACTAATGACCTTTAATTATGTCGAGTTATATTAAGGCGAGTGCCTGTGTCATTCCATTCTAACTAATTAAAAAATATCTAGCTATATAAGAAAAGAATAAAAGTTCCATACTCCACACATGGAAACTTAATAAATAGATATCAATAACAATGTTCCCACGATGTCAACACGAGACGGATGTGGGCGGATGGACCTTGGAAAAATGAACTATAACAGGTAACAGAAATTATAATCGGTACGCAAAACAGATGACTAAGTTCGAGCACTGAGATCCGCCGTTATACATAGGTCACTATTCCGGAATAAAGTTCGCGCAATTACGTCATATATGCTAGAGACTTAAAAAATGACCTAAAGAGAGATAAAAATAACAGTTGAACCATTCTGTAAATAGTAGCAATTATAGTTCTTTTAATTTGGTACGGCCACAGAGTAAATATACGTGGTTCGTATGTGTGCGTAATGTACCTTCGCCTATCAGCTAAACTTAATAGGGTATATGGACATATGATGATCTGTCTCCTGTCATGTTGTCAGTTTCATTTCGATTTCGACCAATTGTGAGTTTCGGATAATAACAATTCCACCAAAAGACAATTCACTAAATTGAGACATGCATGTTAAAGTTCAATGATTATTTTTTAAATTAACTGAAAAAAATGAATCCACTTTAACCAATTTAAATATTTTTTGGTTCCATTAATAATCTATTCCTATTGAGAATTGTTAGCAGCGATATATAATTATATTCTTGACTATATGCTGTAGCTTAATTAGTTCTAATATTGAGGTAAAAAACCTTTTATTTTAATTTGAAACAAATTAAAATAAATCGTGATTAAAATTTCTCAAAAATAAGGTGGAATAGCTTCGAAATTTATCCCGGACCAAAGTCGTGGCAAAAAAATTATATATATAATAATAATATATATAGTATAGGTATAAGAATATATGAATTGTAATACAGTAGGTACCGTGTGACCATTTTTTTCTCAAATTCCAACCAATTCGCAACGGTCGTGTGCAATATCCTTATGTGATACTTTTTATTTTGTTTTAAAATTGTTTTTAACATTTTCCGTATCAGGTTTTTTATTATACTGCGAAACTATAAAAAATATTTTGTAAACTTCGACGGTTTGCCAATGTCGTTATAAATGGATGGATAACTTGATTATTTTTTTTACAATTTTATTACTTTATAAACTTACCAAATTATTTTATTTTATATCAATAGGCGGATATATAAAATGGTCAAATGCGAGTAGCAAATGTTTGTATATAATTGGTGTCGTCCCATAGACTATTGTAATATATGACTTTTACGACCTAGGTGGTGTGATTTAGCATACTTTCCGATAGTCGTGGTTTGCATTCATGCAGAATACAATTCAAACATTTGTATTTATGTTTGCTTATATTGGGTGTTCCCTATCTTCTGCTCGGTAGAATAACGTACATAAAATATCAACTGCAGAGGCCTAACTTAACTTAGCCCGTTGATTTATGTTATAGAATAATTGTTGTTTATGGACTATTAAATGATCTATCTATAGGTAGTGCTGTAGGTGGTCCCAATTTCAACGAGTCATAAATCTGATATAATCAAGAATAGACTAATTAGATCACAGCGCAGATATGGGGATATCTTTAAAATCACAATGTGTTATGCAGAGTGACCCCCGGCCTAGTCGGCGAGTCACGAAAGCACGAGGTCGCGCTATCTGATAACATTTAGGTAGGTACCTAGTTTGACGCCTCCATTTGTCAAATTCGACGCGTGAATGCACTGCGACAAAATCTGGGCTAAGCTATTGCAGTGATGAATGACTAATACAAGGTTAACAGACTGACGCCAGGTTAAATATATCTCTATCAATTAATCAGATGGTAGATTAAAACGAAGCAGGTGAACGTACCTTATATGTTTTTTTAAACTATACAAATACATAAAATTGTCAGCAGTATTCATATTTTACGATGCAGTTTAACTTTAAATTCGTAGGTGATGTTACGTTATTTTTTTTTAATTATGTACTGAAATCTATGTTATTATCTACATGTACCTAAGTATTATATAAACCTTCCTCTTGAATCACGTTATGTATTGCTAAAAATGGTGAGTTGGAGTACATTGCTAACAATGTGTCCAATAATATCCATTATTAAAAATACATGTTTCATAATTAATTCATAATGCAGCCAAACTTTGCACAGACCGTACAAAGTAAATAATTTAAAACATATATATACTGAAATGTAAAATTATGACTTAAAGAAACGGCAGGAATAAACTTCTGGTTTGTTATACCATTTTTTCATGCCCACAAGTAGGCATGAAAATTAATGCTCCAATGTGAGATCCAGTTAAAATTATCCGATATCAAAACTGATATAATGAGTTACCATATTTGACCCTCAATAACACCAAGACAAAAATTATTAACACTATCGAAATACAGTTATTAAACAATTACTCTTCTCAAATGTCTCTTTATATTTAGTCAATTTGACCATTTAAATGCAGTAACTAATAATTAATCCACGATTAAAATTACAAACATGACCCCGCGCGCAATTAAATATCGAAAAAGTAAAAACAAGTTCAAAGTTAAGCTCAGGAGATCTAAGGCGACCGCGCACGAAGGTCACAGGTAGATGGTGACCTCGCCACACAGTGTATGCGCGAGATAAGCTTACAACCAGGAGATAATATCAGATACGCGTTGATCTAGATATTAAATTGTGTTACGCAAACAATATATATACACGTCCTGGTATTAGATTCCCTATTTAATCATAATAATACACACACACACTTTTTTTATAATACGATGGTGGCAAACAAGCATACGGCCCGTCTGATGGTAAATGGTTACCGTAGCCTATGGACGCCTTAGACACCAGGGGTATCAAGTGCGCTTTGCCGACACTTAAGAAATCTTAACACCCTTCTTTAAATACAGCATGGTATTGCTGTAGTCTGATGAGAAAACCTCGGCACACACAAAGTGAAGCGAAGTCTCGCCTCAACTAAGTGGTTCGATACCGCCAGAGAGATCGGGATCTATGGTACGTCACTGAACCGAGTCAAAAGGACCGGGCTTGTAATAAGGTGCTCCTGCCCAAAGATACATACTGCAGTACTCCATGTGCGGCCGAACCTATGAGTTATATAAGAGGAGTCTCTGGTCCGCAGTGAAGTACCGCTGCACTTACTTCGTTTAGGCCCGTAAGTGTGGTATACCATCAAGCGTATCAAACCAGCAACGGCTCAGTGTCAGTGTGACAAATGTTGTTTTTATCTCCTAATTGTATTGGTGCATATAACTGTAAATTAATAATTCACAAATAATAATTAAAATATTAGTAACGTTTTTTGTTTATTCTATTAAGTTTATGACAAATATAAATTATACAGGAACGATTGGCGAGTAATTTATTTATACCATTTATAACATCATCACATATATCCCCTTAGGGGTGGAATTAATCTAAATCCTTTCTTAGCGAATGCCTACGTCATAACATCTACCTGCATGCCAAATTTCAGCCGGATCCGTCCAGTGGTGTGCGTTGATAGATCACTATGTCAGTCACGTTTGAATTATATATATTTAGATTATTATATCCGAAATACCTTTGCTGAGTAATTTCACAGTAAACAGTCATACATGTAGGTTAATTGAAAAGAAACAAATCTTTAGTAGATATACAAAAATAATTTATTTGATTAAAATAGAAGAGATTTTCTATAAATGCATTTTATCACTACAATTAATCATTTTACATATACATGTTTTGTTCAAGAATAATTATTATATTGATATAAATTATTAATAAATTAAACTTAAGAGTGAAATTAAATGTTTTTGTCATTAAGAGCGTACACACCGTCAAATTTGCCTCCGATGGATTCCCCGTCCAATTCAAATCGGGAATCGAAATAACTAAGGTGAAGTTCGAACCCCTAGCGGTGCGACTAAAGTCATCAAGCCATTAGGCAGGAGTTGGTTGGTATTCAGCCGCTTAATAATACATTCCGCGGATTTGGAGTACCATCTGCACTCACCCCCTATCGTTCGGTGAAGCTGTAAATGTCGGCTGCGACCAAGAGCATCAGAATAGTTCGATAAAATTTGCACTCTGCACTGTCCGTCCATTATTAAAATCAAAAGAATTTTCATTACTTTTCAATGACTATTAAATAAATTAAAGAAATCAAACGTGAATCATAGGATAAGTTGGACTAAATAGTTAATATTTATCGTTACAATTTTCCAAATTATAATTTTACCACAAAAATCTGAAATTAATATTACTTCAATATGAATTGTTTGCATGAATAACTTTTTAATTCTCTTCTTTTTTAGTAATGTTCATTTTCATTCAATTTCAGAGACATTGAAAATTGATGTTTTTTATACGTTGACACTAAACGCGTACAAAATATTAGTGGTGAACGCCCTTAATAAAATTATATTTATAATGTGTGATCTGTCAAACATTTAAATACTTTTTTAATAATACTTCTTTTAGCACCAGATTTGATTTATTTTTATTAAATTTTCTTTTATACTTCAAGTTAAGTGCCCATTAACTTTCGTTATTTTATGTCTGACATTATTGTGCAATTTTTATAAATGATTTCATAGTTAAAACGTGTTTCTATCCAAGTGTTATATTTCAGAGCAAGTTCAAGTGTTTAAGGGATTTCATTCTATACCTGAACCTTATTCTTATACCTGACTTTTTTATTACCGTTCGGAAAAATTAGAGCATTTACTCTATGTAAAGTAGAAATATTATACGTAGTCAAACTACAATTGTAATCAATACTAAACTACTCCAATTTTCACTGAAAATATAGAATCATGTCAATCCTATATTTTTGTTTATTTTTTTATTAATCAAATCATCTGCATGTAAATATAACAGTCTATTTTCTCCGAACGGAATAAAAACATCCTGTATATGCATTACTCTGAGTTTTAATACAGATTGCATTAGTGTACTGCAAAGACTACCGCCTAGATATGATTACAAGATATTTTTAAGATGTACAATGTACATTGCATGCAACATTCTCCTACCAAGCACGAATATAACGAAGTTTAAGAGCCATCTTGATTCTGCAGTTGTTTCAACTGTTTCAGCACGGTATCGAGCAACTTTCGTCTGTCTCTCTCATTCTTCTTCAAGACAGAGAAAACGGAGGATTTCTGCTCAGCCTCTTTCAGTTTTTCGAGGAGCGTGGCTGCGTCGCGGGGCGTGACCAGTGAGTACTTGCCGCCCTCGATGCCGACGTCGTGAAGGTAGGAGGACCAGTCCCAACCGGTTATGAGGTCGAGGAGTTGCCTGTCATGTTAATTCAGAGAATAATATATAATAGTAACTTTGGACAATTCATACAATGCCATATAGTCCCAAGCAAAGCAGGACTTAGTGTTATGGGCACTAAACAACTGATATAAATACTTAGATATATTTTTTATTTTTAACTAAACATAAACATTTCATACTACGTCGCGGGCGCAATTTTCCTAAAATAGGGTATAATATTTTTGCTTAACGTATTAATATATCGATAAGCATTTCTATCAGTTGTTTAGCACCCATATTACAACCTTTGCTTAATTTGGGACTATATGACGCTTCCTAAATTTTCTTGGATTATAATTTTTACTTTATTATTACTCACCTCAAGCTTGCAAAGTGTTCCAACAGTTCACCCTCCTTAAGTCCAGGCACTGGTTCACCGGCCGCGAACTGCTCACACTGTATCACGTCCAGATCGAGCTGATACAGCGCCCCGGAGGAGATCTGCTTCACCGCCGGATCCAGGAGCAAGTTGCGGAGACGCGTCGCTATACGGTTTGTAGCTGCTCTAACTGCCGCCACTCTGATTTGGGAAAAATACTTTTGAGAGCGTCGTTGTCGAGTAGTTATTTATTTATTTAATACAGGCGTCTAATGGACCTTTTTACCTTATAGACTAATATTTATATGAAATAATAATAAAATATAAATTGTCTCTGTGATCACGGCACTGGCGACAGCAATCTGCCACGGCAGCGCCGATACAATATAGATTACAATGTAATTCCATTTCTATCATCCATTACAAAATACGTATCGTAAAATAATCGTGACGGTATAATGATTTTATATTTTTATATCACAGTAGTAGCATACGGCCCGTCAGATGGTGAACGGTAAATTATAAAATTCTGCAATAGCTGTGTAAAGTAACAAACATCCATCCATACTCACAAACTTTCACATTTATTACTAGTAAGCTTATATCAATACCTGGCTCTCTCAGGCAGGTGTTCGAGTGAGGTAAGAACCCCAGATAGATAACTCAGCATGTCGGTCACAAACGAAGACGCCTGACCCGTCGGCTCCACTGAACATGTAATAAACATATCATTATTTACATGCAATACTAACGACCTCAATGGCGTAGCGTTTAGCACAATAATATACATTATAATAGTCGAGAGTTCGATATCCCTTCAATACAAACATATGTATACAAATCAGGCTGTATATCCCAGCTGGCGGTCTAGCTCACCGCCTTACATCCGATGGTCTCTCGAGTTCGATTCAATACAAACTTTTGTATTTTTCATATTCATTCACAATAATCACAATACATACTACAGTTTAAATTCAAATTTTCAGATTTAACACCTTATTCGTCTTATTGTATAGGTTTACTAAAACATTTTCAGGGTATGGCAGCATGACATCTGAGTTCCTCCGAATGGCAACGCATGATACCCATATGGTACCCATAAGCATCACGTGACCTCGTGCTATTTATGTTCTTCCAGTAGGTATACAGTTTGTCTGCAATTCCAATTAGATAAAAAAATTGGTAGTATATTAATTCTGCTGTAAACGTTACCTAGAAGCCAATCGTAATTCTCAAGATCCAGAAATTCGTCGACTTTCTTCTCCAAATTGTCGCATATCTGTTGTTCAGCGTCGTCGCGCGCCGCTTGGAACATACTTCCAGCTGCCTATTACAAAAATAATCATAAAAATAAGAATAACTTACGAAAGAAATAAATTTAAAATATAATACACATATGTACTTTATTTACAGAGTGCATGTGTGTATTGTTAATTTATTATATTGTATACAATACACGTGTTTCGTGACCTGTAATCCAATGCCTTATTTCATCTTCGGAACAGATCTTACAAAGCAAGTCGTTGCTAAAATATATGAGATGTATACCAACGCAGACGACAAAGTCATCCTCGGCGGTGAAAAAGCATAGCGAGATAACTATGTAGTTCCATAACAATAACTGTGTGACTGGTATTTGATGTATATAACTAATTTATCAACTGTTGCTCTCTTGAGAGAGTTTTACCTGTGTGGTGACCAGTTCAGAACCAGTGATGTTGCTAATAAACTCGTACAGGTACAACGTTGCGTCCTCCAAGTACTGTGTGTCGACGATGATCTGTGGTAAAAAAACAATGTTTGAGATTCGAATGCAAGCAATATTCCTGGACAAATCATACAGCGCCATCTAGTCTCAAGCTAAGTAAAGCTTGTGTTATAGGTTCTAGTTTACTGATAGATATATCTAGATACATTTTTTTAAATACATACATAATATCCATATAAAAGATGTTTTAAATTTTTCAAAGGTAATTCCAGTATCCTTTGGTATCCTATTGTAAAATTTTACACCAATTCCCACAAAAGACCTATTGATTTCTTCTAACCAATACTTATAACCAGCAAATTTGTGTTTAAATCTAGTGTTAAAGTTATAAATATATTTATGTACCTGCACCAACTGCATGAGAGGCAGAGGGCGTCGGAACAGCGCCGACAAGCAGCCCGTGAAGGATCTGCTCAGTAGTAAAGAGGCTGAATGTCTGGCCGCAGCCGCCCGTCTGCTTCCACCAAATCCCAGCCCCACCGAGTACTTGAGCCAGGCGTATATAAACTCCTTAACTTGTATGTACACGTCGGGAACTATTGACGAGAACGGAAACCTGATGAAGGAAGCAGTCTTGTTAAAATTAAGGGTGAGTAACCTTTTTATTCAACGGTTCAATTTAAATGTTAACATTTTTTGGTGGACCTAATGTGATCTAATGTGACCTAACCTGCACATAACCTATTAATAATGTACAAAAATTTATTATAATCAGCATTAAAATACATTTTTTTAAAGAGTAATGTTATCCTATACAAATTTTAATGCAAACATTCGTATGACATACATTTGAACAAGATGCTAAAGTAGTACGATTTAATATGTACTAACATTTTATTATAACAATATATTGATGGGAGAAAGAAAAAATAAATTCAATAACATAAATGCGGCATAAATAACGGGCCGCAATAACAGATCATAATGTCGGCTATACACTCGTGGCGAGATCGCTCGATTCTCATATTTCACTCAGTCAACTATCTCATAAAGATGTTGCTGCTACTGCAGCTTTTTCACTCTAATGAACCCAAGCATATTTTATTTTTATTTTGTTAATGCACAACAAAAAGATAGAACAAACTCATTGGTCCAATCAGTCATTGTCAACAATATGAAATCACAATTTTACTGTTACTTAATTTTTGTGATTTGGCTAAACCTGAAACGCTTTAATATAAAATTCTAGAAACTGTCTACGTAAAATATACACAATATATTTATCAGGGGTAATCAAACAAACTGTTGATGTTGTGGTGAAAGCACTTGACATGGCCACATTTCTCACGATATATTTGAATTTAATATGGTAGGAAAACCTACCGTTGTCTCTCGTAATAATTTTGGCTTTGACACCAGTTTTATTTCAACAGAAAGTCACTAATTGAAACATTTGTTAGAGTCAGATTTGAATTCACTACCTTTTGGGTGTAATGATGGGTAGTAAAGCACTAGGGAACGATGTTCTTAAGTATGAATACATTAGTAGTAAGTATGTATAAAAAAAAACAGTGTCACATACTTCCTCGGGAATGGCTGGGAATCCAACTCTTCACCGTCATACGGAAAGATGTCCATCACACCATCATATTGATCTTGATTTTCAACCTAAAAACACATTTTTAAATTACATTATAATAAAGGCATGCAAAAGCAAAAAAAAAAATAGGCATAGTTTTCAACTCACACAACAAAATAGAATTTTTGACCTCATGATCATCCTATCATCCTATCACGCTGGAGGTAAACGGTTAGCGCAACGAGAGAACCAAACCATTAGTATCCTTAAAAAAACTATTATATGTAAAATATAGAATAAAAATTAAATGTACAATAAGATAATATGACATATATACCTCTATAGGCATAAAGGCCGCGTTATCCAAAATATCTCTGAAGACAACCACCCATCTCTGCATAAGCACCTCGGTATAGTGTTCCGCCATCTCATGAAGCAGCAGAGGCAGTGGGTCCGTCGGAAGACCGTAGCATCTGGAAATGCAATAGTACATTGAGTCAATGATAAAAAAGAATGTATTGTATTATTATAAATTGAAATAATACCCAAATTAGTATTAATATATATATTTTTTAATTAGTTCTGTACGTTCAATTTCGTTTTAAAAATTTCGAATCTAAAATTTCTTTTTTTATTTTGTAAACAATCGTGACACCTCTCACCCATTTCTACTGCCAAGCAGTGAGTGGGAGTTGTCTTTCGGTTTAAAAGACGAGATAGGACAGTGAAATTAGGAGTATAGAGACATGATACCTAACAATATAGGTAGGTATGTAGGTAATGTAGATATAGCTCAGAGATGGGAATTCAAAAAAATGATTATTTTTTTGTTGTGTTAGACGAATATGTGAATTTTAAAACTGATTTAAATTATTTTTCATTAATTTTTTTTTTATTAAAAAAAATACCACTTATAAACGTGCCCGCAGAAATAAGCAGACAGTAATCAGAGACAAAATGTTAAAGAATTTTAATACAACTATATAATATATCCATTATCAATGTACCATTGGGACTGTTGGAGAAATAAACTTACTTTAATGTACTGATGAATAACACAATTTGATGTTTAATAGTCAACATTAGGGTCGGGTCTGTGATCAGCGACGTATTGGTACGCAGCGTTGAGGCCACCTTCGTAACTGACATATTCCATGTATCTAGCAGCCATTCCTTCGATACTAGACCAGCTCCCGTGGTCAGCAGATGCTCCTCGAGTATGAAGAAGCCGAGAACAGCATTCAAGTAGTTCTTCACACTCTGTATAGAGTCATGGAGGTTGCCTGATGATGGTATGAGAACCAGGCGAGCTTGTTGCTTACGTTGAGCTCTGTAGGATTTGGGATGATGAAATGATTACATTAGTAATGATAACAATATCTCAGGTCAATTTCAAGATGCGCCATCTAGTTCCAAGGTAAGCAGAGCTTGTATGGTAGACAACTGATAAAAATAGGATACATACATAGATTATTTTTTCCTAAATACCCACAGAATTATATACACAGAAAACACTCAGACCAATACAAACAATTAATTATACTCATGAATACATGTTTGTATATACCGTGCGAAAAATAGAACCCGCGACCATCGAAAGTAAAGATGTGTGATATACCGCTAGACTACCGAGGCCGTCAATCTTATATCTAATATGACACTAATTGTATACAGTTAATTTGCAATAATCCAATAAAACACACACACATACATATAATCATGACTGTAATCCCAAATGGGTTAATCTGTCTGAGCACGTATATACCGTATCCACGTCATGGTGAACTGAATACTGATTTTTCCAGATTTTACAGAGTATATTTAAATAAAATGTAGCCTGGAAAAGCCTATCGTCGTAGTATAATGAATATCTCACCTATAATATTGTACGAAGTCATTCTTGGCCCCGAGAACACTATGTATGTGCAGGCATCTGTGTAGGGGACTAAAATCCACCAGCTCGTGAGGACATTGGGGTCCATTGCTTTCTTTGTTGGATATACCAAGTACTGCCATATCTGCAACAATTAGAGATGGAACATCAATATTTAAAATGAAAATTATGAACATGCAAGAAATAGCATTACATGAGTGATACCCATTATTTCTTGTTAGTATTCTGTATTGACAATTACGTTATTAATATCTACATGTAAAGATTGCCACAGTATCAATAGGCCATCAGTTTGTCTTAACAGGCCACTGATAGAAAATGTGACTAAAAATCTCCTCATTTTACTTTGTATGTAAAAAATAATGTCAAAATATTAATTATATCTTAAAGTCTATAGGAGCTAGTATGATGGGTGTTCCTCAAGGATCAGTTTTGAGTCCGTTTCTCTTATAAATTCACATAAATTACCTTCCTGCCATGATATAAAAAATGCTGATATAGTGCTGATTACCTAACTGGAGAGCGCCCAACAGTTCGTTGACCTAACATGGTTTATTATTTATAACACTAAATTTATTATTCGTTAGTAGTTAGATGAACTAGTAAACTAAACTACATTCATATGTATAATTAATTACATTATACAAAAACCATAATATCCAAAGTATGTACAAACCTTTCTTATTTTTCACAATATTGGCTAAACTTCTTCCAGACATGTCTTGAGTTTGCTTTAGAGCCATAGCACCAACCTATAAATAAGTATTCACTTTGAAAACTTCACTAATTATCTAACAGGAATTTATAAAAAAATGGCTTTCTACAATATCCTAACCTGATGGTATAATATTTATTAACAAGCCAGGTAATGCCAAGTTATAGATTAAAAGAGACAAAGGAAGGTCGCCACTTTAAGTAGGTATATCTGTCCGCAAATAACATGTGAAGAACTAAAGATTGATATTAACTTTGAGGTCAATTGATATTCATACTATAACAATTATTTACACTAATATATAAAGAAGAAAATATTTTTGTTTTTAAGGAATAAATCACTGGACACACTTTTGAAAAATTCTTTAATTATTAGAATACTACATTATTCTTGTTTAATCTAAGCTATATTTTACTAAAAAAAATAGGAATCCCTACTAAAACTTCAAGAGGGATACACAGTTAATAAATTTGCCACATACTGAAATAGCAATCTTTATACACTAAACTTATTAACTGTTCTAAGATAGGACTTATCCTGGTAAGATACATGTAGTTCTACCAAAGTTGTGAAGGGTAATTAAATATAACTAAGGGTAACAGAAAAATTTACCTGTGGGCTTAGCTTGCGTATATTCTCCAGGAAATCTCTTAAGTCAGCCATGGATGCATCCTGTATAGCTTGTCGCAGTCGAGGTATATCGGCCGATATCTGTGCACACCACTTGTACGGGCCCACTCGAGGAAGCAGTACATGTTCCAACTGCTCTAGGGTTTTGAGAGCTGGGTAATACCTAGAAAAAAAAATACATTGGTTATGATATTGGAGATAACTAAGTAACTTTTAAGAGGACATAATTGGGAACAAGCTGAAGTTCAGTGGAGTAGATGACAAGCCTACCCTTTTGTAGGCCTTATTACAGACTTTAATAGAATAACATTTCGAAATTTTATCAAAAGGGACCTTGAGTTCCCAATGCCAGCAGCACTACTATCATAGCATAGATCGCAATAGTAGAACGAACTCCTGTTTAATAGATCTAGAAGGACAGTTGATATTGTACCCAGTAAATTTACAGCCACATCTAACAAATCCAATTAAAATAACATTTATTATTATTACAAGTCATACATGTTCATTATTATAATATTTATAGATTTGTATGTAATGGATAAACTATAAAAGCCTAGAAAGATTTTAAAAATTCTTTCACTTGTTCTTTCAAAGTTATAATATCAGACAATAACATAGACTACATTCTATGTATATATCGCCTACCACTAATATAAAATAACCTTTTAGCTTCAACTTGTGTTTTCAATTTAGAATATGTGGTGAGTAGAGGCAAGCATAATTCCATTTTCTCTATTGTAGCAGCAATATTTAATTCCACTCTACGGGCTCGAATAAGCTCCTGAGCTCTGGCACACAAACCTGTAATAAAATGTAATATGTTCTTAACAAAAGGACCATAAATATGTAGCAAGATGTAGGAATCTCTTTAATTGCCCATAGATAGACATAGAATACATATTCTACAATACCTGTAGTTCAATTCATATATAGAGATAATGGATACCACTTTCAGATGGGTCAAATTAAAAAAAATATAGTTTTTAAAATGAAATGAAATAATATAAGTCAAAATTATAAAACCAGCTCTCTGATCATACTACAATTAATATGTGTTAGCCATTTGTTACTATTAATACTCAATATGACAATTGGTCTGCTACACTTTTCCATTTAGGCTAGGAGTATCACAGAGTATAGTAAAACTTTAGTTGTTTAATACAAGCATTATAGTGGCAAATTTATAAATAAAATGGATGAGCTAACCCATACCAAACGTAAGTAATGAGCAAACTTAAAACACCAGCCATACCCAGGTAAGCTATGGTACCACCTCAAACTGCCAGGAAAGTTACCAGCAGATAGTTTTATTGGATTTGAAGCTAATTACTTAATACTAACTTTCAGTAGTGTCTTTAACATTAGCATCCACATCTGATATCTTAGCATGAAGCTCCTCAGCATGAGAACGCACTTGAAGCAACTCACGAATTGAATCTATGAAATTCTGAAAAAAATATAAGAATGATTCTTCCATGTATCAATAACATTAAATTTTTATTTATTTATAATTCAGGCTATATGTTCATTTTTATAAATACCGTATATAAGAAATAATAATAAAATATAAATCAAAACTGTCTCTATGGTCACAGCACTAACAATAACAAACTGCCTTGATATCATTGATAGCAGAAGGGGGTGGTGTATCAGCACCACCCCCTTCTGCCAATGGACTACTGGCCGGAGAGGTGGTGTATCCTTCATGAATTATATTTTTATGTTTAGTTTTATTATCTATGACATTTTTATTAAATTATTAATTTCACAATTTGACCTACTCAACACTTCATATGTCACTCTATTGACTTGACTGGAAGACATCTCTTTTAGAGATAAATCCTATTTTGTTAAAATTATTTCTAATTAACATACTTAAAAATTTATTTAAGTGCAATAAAGAATATATAATAATAATAACACAGAAAGTGGGTTATACCAAGTACCTTAGTGGTATAGCAGTTAAACACACAAGTTATATTCCTCTAGTTTCAGACATACATAATACACATAGTATTATATATGTGTTGAAAATACAAAGTATTTTTACAAGTTGTTTTTTACTATCTATAGACTCTGCTTAATACGTAATTTCTATTTTTGATTTGTGATTCACCTAAATGGCACTGTGATATGTGTAAAGTTCTTTATTTATTATTCCAATAGCAAAAATAGACTAAGGTACATGCATGGGGTATATAAAATAAATTTAGGGACTTGTTTAGTAGACTAAACATTGGTAATTATTTTTTTTTTTCAATTAAATTTATATCTCCTCTAGAAAGATATAATTAAATTAAACAAAAGAATTAAGTAATAATCTACTTCTTAATTCTTTTGATTAAAATCAAATACTTAATGTACTTACTTGGTAATGAAAATTGCACAATTTCTCGATTTCCTTGTCATGTTGCTTGATTCTTTCATCCAATTGTTGAACAAATGCTTCATGCCCTTCACCTTCATATACTGAGCGGAATGCTGGACCCCAGTAGTCATCTATTCCTTCTATCTCCTATAATTTATGAATACATAATGAAAAAGTATAAATAGTAGCACACTGTAAAGACGGAATTGTAACAATTTTATGTAATATTACAAAACAGAACTAAAATATCTTATTTGTTAAATAATCATGTATGAATTTTAAGAATTGTGTATTATTATTAATCATTCATAAAACAGTTAAAGTGGGTGTCAATAATACCTGGATAGTAGCATTGGTCATTTTGTTTTATATTCTTCAGATTATATAGAACACTGAAATGTTCAAACTTTTAAATAATTCATGATTTATAAACTAATAAAATTCTGTGATAAATTGGTTTTGAAATGCCTAATGCTATTAAAAATTGGTTTTCTATATAGAAAACTATTTTGACAGATTTTCGAAGATTTCGAGATGAATGAGATGTATATGCTACAGATTAGAAAGATTCACGTCGCCGTCGTTCTTCAAACAAACATTAAATGAATTCATAGCAGACGTCATTATTAATGTCATAGTCTCTGTTCACAGTAGTTCATACATGTATAACAATCTATAGTCGAGACCATCGAGACGACATAAGTAAACGTCAAAAATTAACAAAACCGCTTTTACCTGGATCGGTTCAGTCGTGTCAATCGTTAGTTTTGTAGATATTCAAATAATTGTTGAAACCCTCAATTAACTTAGTTATTAATCCATGATTCCATAATTATTTTTTTTAAAGAATCGATAACTTATTTTATCAGTATTCAGAAGTCCGTCAACCATGGCTCACTGTATGCGAGTTTTACATGGCCAAGTAAGTTATTTAATTATTTGTGCACATTTATTTTATTATAATAAAATAAATTATTCAACATATAAACTATTAAAGTAATATTAACATTATGTTGATCGTTTCGAGCCAGGAAATATGCTATGAACATTTTCTGTTATGTCGTCAATAACTCAGGGCCGCTAAATTAACATAGAAGTCCAATAGGTTATATGTAGGGACTTCGTATCTCTGTTATCTCATCTCGTGTGTTATATGTTAAACAGTGGTGGGACGGCTGAAGGTTATTTTCCATGGATTTATTGACTTACGGTATGTTTTCAGGGTGGCAGGACAAGAACGGTACTCTTGGAGATTCAGCAAAGATGCTTCAGCGTATCCCCACTCACTGCCGCTGCGGCCCAGGTACTTGAAACAGTTCAAAAATATATAATTTTCATGATTTTCAATGATAATAAAACACTTGTTATGTAACCACTGAAGCATAGAAAATGTTATTTTCTATGTTAATAATGCTGTTTTTAATTAACAAATGGTGTTGTTTAGGTCGCGATGTCAAGATTCGACAAAGCTCCTCTGCCATATGATAAATTATCACAGAATTTGGAGATTGTCAAAAAGAGGTTAGGTCGTAAGATGACCTTGTCAGAGAAGGTTCTCTACTCACATTTGGACGACCCAAAGGGTCAGGTAAGTAATTTTAATTACATCTACTTCTGTGAAATATCTCAGAATGTATTGGTTTTGAGACTAGATTAAACTCATGAAACAGCATACTATTAAGTTTATGCATTACCAAAACTAGGTATGATTCTTTTAATGAGCTAAGTCAGTAAAGAAATTTTCAAAATAATTTTAAATATATTTGTCTTTCACACCGTTGGGTATCCTAGTTTGCAGACCAGATAAAAATTAACACCCATAAGATCCATTAGTAATGATGGTAATTTGACAATTTTTACAATTACATTAAAAATATTATTATTATTAAACTGTTAACATACTCTAAAAGTAGTAGTAATATTTAAGTAAAGTCTATATCATGACAGTTTTACTGTTTTAAAATATATAAAGATTTTTGCTTAATAGTGTTGTACAAATAAAATTAATGAAATAGTTTTCTTTATTATATGTCATGAATGTTATCTCTGAAATAATGCTATTTATATTATTATAATAACAGGATATATTATATAAAGGTCGTTAAATGAACCTAAAAATTCACAGCTATGTGATAACATGTTATATAACATAAACAAACATAATTATTTGTAAAACTACTTGTCATGATTTCATGTATACTATCATACACCACATATTTTGCACACTTGTTTCTATATAATATAACATTGTCTTATTTAACAATATATATGCCATGTTTTTAAAAAAAATTATGGATTTAAAAATAAACACTAACATAGTTTTGCCAAAAGAACAATTTAAAAGGTAAGGTACCTTTGACAGAACTAAACTTTGTTTGGTGCTGATATGAACAGTACAAACACAACAATATTTGATAACCAATTCCTGGTTGTCTTTTTTCAGATTTAATTAAAAATACAATTCATTCATACTCATTGAGTGAGTCACTTTGGTGTAGTGTGATCCTTGTTCTATTATTTATTCATAATTAAAGCTTCTTTTTAAACTTTTTTACTGTGATTTTTAGTAGACATATGTTATTAATGTAAAAAATTACTTTGTTTTATTTGATCACATCAGTGTTACTCTAATTTTATAATTTTGGAACATACAATAATACATATCAAAATATCATGCTTCATTCAGGAAATTGAACGTGGCACCAGCTACCTTCGACTTCGGCCCGACCGAGTGGCTATGCAAGATGCAACGGCTCAAATGGCCATGTTACAGTTCATCTCATCAGGATTACCTCGAGTTGCTGTCCCATCTACCATCCATTGTGACCACTTGATTGAAGCACAAATTGGTGGTGACAAGGATTTGGCCAGAGCAAAGGTATGGCTTTCTCACCAACCATAAATTTTTATTTACAGGATGGTATTATATAAAAGTATTTAATCCTTAAAATTAAAGGCTAATTATATGTTTTGAAATTATAGTAAATTGATAAATAACAATTATGATAAACTAGTATACTTATTATCTTAGATTTCAAATCTTTATAAATTGGTCGATGTAGATATCTATCTAAGATCGATCAATCGATCTTGAATCTTTCATCTAAAATCTGATATTAGTACATTTACTGATTGCAGATATACAGGGAACAAAAAACTCTATATGTTGTAATTACTATACTGTGTTCTAAAACAATTTATACTTTAATGCAGGACATCAACAAAGAAGTTTACAAATTCCTGGAGACAGCTGGAGCTAAGTATGGAGTCGGATTCTGGAAACCAGGCTCTGGAATCATCCATCAAATCATCCTGGAGAACTATGCATTCCCTGGCTTACTAATGATTGGCACTGACTCTCACACACCCAACGGTGGAGGCCTCGGCGGACTTTGCATTGGTAATTATTTTAAAATTATAATTATACTACTGTTACTAATAAAGTGGTTCTTTGCTACTTTTTTAATATTTTATAAAAATATGTAATTATTTTATGGTAGTTTTTATATATCACTAGTTGACCCGGCGAACTCTGATCAGCCGCAAAATTGAATAATGCGTCAAAGTTCAGTTTGATAGGTAGGAACAATTGGAAAAAAAATGCTGTTTTTACTATTTTCAATGCAATTTCTTCATTTTTACTAATTACTTAAACCTTGCTTGGAATTCTACAAATATTTTATAACCAAAATTAGCCAAATTGGTGCGGCCGTTCTCGAGTTTTAGCGAGACTAACAAATATCATTTTTATATATAAGATTTATTTATATATAACAAGACTATTAAGTCTGTTTTTCTTTCTCTTTCTCAATTTACCAGTCCTTGTAATAGTGTAATATAAAGAGGTTCTCCCCTTTATTATGTCACTTACAGTTATGCACTAAACTGACAAACTACATTTTTTTTACTGTACCTCTGTATTTTATTCTTTACTGGTTGTCTACCCTGTGCCATAAGTAAAGCCATCCCCGGGCGAAGCGGGAGTACTCATGAATTTCTGAGTTTTGTATATGTTAATATTATATATAGCCTATACTATGAAATAATCTAGCTTTCAGATTGTGAGAGAATGACTAAAAATATTGTAATTGATCTGGAGTTGACTTTCCTCATAACAACTATCCAATGTTTATTTTCCTTATAAAAACGTCCACTCTCTCACTCGCTTTATAATATGAGTATTTTCTAATTTTTTTATTGTACAGACTCAAAAAAAATTCGAAAATAACCGCGAATGAGACATCTAAAAAGATTTCATTGAGCAAATGTTTTTGTATAAAAATCTCATTAAGAGTCTTGTTCTAATCAAATTTATTTTGCAATACATTAAGAGCATTTCGTATTCTTCCACAGGATTATATCATCATATTTATTTTATGATAATGACCTATGGCATATTACGGTGAAACTGGTCGGGTCGTAAAATTGTAATGATAAAAGTATATCAGTATTCTAATGATATAAAGATGATTCCCAAAATCCACCATTTCGACATACAATAAAATTTACCAAACTAATTAATTACTAAGTGCCCCGTCTCGGCTTTGCTCGAGTGCTCATAACTTTCGGATTGCTCCCCTTTATTCACGTGATGTTTTTTAGCATTTTTAATCTTAACCCTTTCTCTCTTGGTGATACGTGGTGAGGTTTAAGACTATATATACGTATAAAGTATTTTATTCTAGAAAATAAAAGTTTTTCGGTTAAGAAATCCCACGTTTGACGAAAAAATAAATACACGTGATATCCTTCCCCTTGTAATATTTCGTGTTTTTTTGCCGAACCCTCCCTCCCTCGCCTTTCGAGCGTCACATGATGCCCATTTGTGAGCTTTGCATTACATTTGCATATGGCCTATAGCATATGCAATAATGCTACCATTTAAATACAATCAGTGAATGAATTTTTCAAACCAGTGCAATAGTTCATTAGGTAACTTTCCGAATAATAAAATTTATCTCTCTTTCTTTGTATTATTTGTATACTCTGCTAGTTGTAACCTTGACCTTCAAAGATGTCATGTCTATAGCCACCGGTTATCACTTATCGTTATGTAGGTAAGGAAAGCTAATTAGTGTACTGCTATTATTATAATGTGTAATAATTATTTTAACTAAGAAATAGTAAACATTTAATATAGTGTTGGACTATCATTTTCATTTATTTCATTTATGTAACATTACAGCTAATTAATGTTTTCTTTTATTAAATAAAAGTTGTAATCAATGTATACAGCAAACAATACCTACTTCTTGTATTCCAATGTCAATTTATAAAAATAATAAGTGCACAGAAAAATCGTCTGTACCATTATGATACACACATGGTATATCGCAATGTTGTCTATGATACTCATATTACCCGCGAATTGGTCTACATTATTATCCTTAATTTGACTTTAATCCCTTCCAAATCGTTTTAGTGAAATAATAAATATTTCATTAAGTTATAACGTTTAGTTGTGAAAAAGTAACAAACAGACAGACATATTTTGACGTTTATAATATTAGTAGGGGTGGCTACCAATTTCGATCTGGAGATACCTCTCTATCTTTGCCATTCCATGTACATAAAGCAAACTCTATTAACATTCACATAAAGATAAGAATTGTTCAATTAATGTTAACAATAATTGCTAGGTGTCGGCGGTGCTGATGCGGTCGACGTGATGGCCGATATCCCATGGGAACTTAAGTGCCCGAAAGTGATCGGTGTGAAGTTGACTGGTAAGTGTTTCTTTAATTACTGACTAATTATATAATATTAAATTAATTCATTGAAATAGGAGCACTGAGTACCAAACTCTTGCAAGTACTGTATTATCGGTACTTTTAAATTATTTTTTTAATCTTAGGACTAAAATTAAACTTATACACTTACGTAAGTACTTACTTAAGTAAGTAATCATTCAGTGACTAAAAAAAGACCATATTTTAAAAGTTTTAAGTTTGAACTTTATTGATTTTTTATTTCTTAGAAGGAAGTATAAAGTTTTTGCTTTGTACTTCCTTCTTACAAAGACCAAAGAGTGTAAATAAAACTACTACCTCTTCCTTTACGTATTAACATATTGCTTATTTTACCTGAAAAAACATCGCTTTGAAAGTTTCCGAATTTTCTTTTTATCAAAATTTTATTTTATACGAAGTAAAAGGAAGTTCAGATTTTGAAAAAATATTTTTTAATTATAATCAATTTCTTAAGCATCCGCTGTTATCGTCTAGTATACATAAATCAAAATATTGTTATTTCTACGCTTTCACTATATAAATAGATGGTCCGAAATAGAACTAATTACTGGTCGCAAACAGTAGTGTCGCGACGGCGCTAATGGCGAGTTTGTTTGTTGACTTCCATTATTATTGTTTCTTCCGAGCCGACATTGTTTACGTGTTCTCTTACGTATTATCTGTCTCTTGGGCTACCGGCGCTACCGCACACAGCCGGCTGTTTGCCAACTTAATGGGTTACACCACACTAGCGCCGGAAAATTGTCATAATTAAACTATTTTTGATTCGCGTATTAAATATATGAATTGTTCTTTATTTTACGCATACATGTGCTGTGCCCGTGGTTTATCCGCTTGATATTTATAGCCTATATGTTATTCTGATTTCACGTTAATAATATTAATAAGATTTATAAACAATTAGTTTTTACCCGCGACTTCGTCTGATTTTGTTTGATAAAACTTAGGTATATGATATATCCTTCCTGATGATGCAATCTATCTTCACATCATACATGATAACCGTGCAACCGTTTAGTTATGATAAGGTAACAAACAGAGATATGTCTGTATTTAGTCTGTTTAGCATATATAATAATATTATAAATTTCTAATATACAATAAAAAACATATAGGACCTTCTGACCTATCATGTACATCATTTTCTATCACTATATCCTACCGTCCAGTTTGGCTAACTACTACGCCATTTTTTCAATACTTCAGTAATTATCAATAATAATGGCGGTGTTAGGAGTCAATCAATGGTATCTCTCCTTGCTAACTCTGTACTTACATGATTTTTCCGTCCATTAAAAAAAATAATAATCCCAAAAGTTGAAACATAGACGTGACGTTAGGCGAGATTTTTTTTTACATATCTATAGAATATCCAATTTTGTGTTTATTTTTCAAACAGCTATCGAATCTCCAAAAACTTATTATCAAGATTGTTAAATGCAAAATAACTATTTCTTTTAAAAAAAATTGTTATTTTGTTGGTTGACACGCCGAATGTAAAAAAATTGAATAAAAAATATTTCTGTTGCAACAACAATTAGTAATCGGCCTATAATTCTATTCTAGTAGGTACATACATTGAAACAGGTGACACGCCGAATGTTGTTTCAGTAATTGGCAAAATGCCGCTCATCCAAATACAAAAAAATAAGTATTCTCGTGTTACGCCCGCACCACGCCTCCACCGCGCCTCTGTTCTGCTACAACCGTTAGTGATCGGCCTATCATTCTATTTTAGTCCAATCTGTTGCTTAGTATTTATACATCGCTACCTATATTGGAATCGTGGGTCGTGATAGTGGACGCGCGCCAGAAACTGACGCCATTCAGTGTTACATTTTTATATCTTTGCATTCCGATTGACTATACAATAATAAAATACGTATAAGATCGAACAGCCTACTTGTTACTAGCACTGCCATCGACTATTAATTAATGCTAGTGGTCGAAATTTGACCATATTTAATTTAACTTTCAGTAAGACTATAGACATAAAATTAATGACAAACAATATTAATCTATTCTCATTTTGACCACAGACTAACAATAAACAATAGATATATATGCGTGTCAAATACGTGTGTATAAGGTTTTTTTTTGTTGATTTAATCTATCTTTTATGCAGAAATAAAAAAAAATATTAGCATTCGAAATTTCATACTCATCCCTCCGCGCAATTTTTATAAGGGTAACAAAGTTTCTGTTTCACGTATTAATATACGAATAATGATAGTTAATTAATTATTGAAACTAGTATGACCCCATGACTTCGTCTGTATAGCCTTGATTGATTGGTATAAAAAGCCTATATCCATCTGTATGCTAAATGCAAGAAAGAGGTAATCCAGACTAATGTATATGTGTTTGTTCCTTATTTTTTTATGTCTAACTAGGCTTTCATGGCTAACTGAATGAAATTTGACGTAAAGATTGATTGTATCACCGGAACGGCTATTTCCATTCACTCTATTATCTTAAAAAAGCAAACAAAGTCATTGGTAACAGCTGGTTAAATAATATTCTCTCTATCGAGGTCACACAGAAGAAGTTGCAGGCAGAATATAGTCTATCATAAATAAACTACTCATAACTGTACCACATAGTTTCTATTATAATATTTTTAAGACGGCCTCTGTGGTCTCGTGGTTTATAAGACCGCATTAATTCGGACGGTTGTAGGTTCGATTCCTCGCACGATAAAAAACATTGTCTTCATAAGTATAATTGTTTGCATTAATCTGGGTGCAATGTGCAATGTATGTTATGTATTTATTTAAGTATTTATATGACTTGTCTAATGCCTATAACAAAAGCTCTACCTAGCTTGGGACTAGATGGCGCTGTGTGAGTGGTCCAGGATTACAACATTATCATGATGAATTCAGAAATTAAACGTGACGGTTAGGGGAACCACGAGAAGGTTAACCTGAAATGGTACATTAAAAACAATCCCATTCCCCTCAACTATACGAGGTTAGTCTTAAAGGGTATAAGTATATAGTAAGGGTATAAAATAATATAAAATAATTACTCCCCTTTAATTATAATTCCTAGTAAATTCAACTTAAGCTTCTATTTCGTGTGTCCGCTATGCGAGTGGCGTCGTTCTATGCATTTCGCAATCAGTACACAGTCCACGGGTGTACGCCCTTGACTCTGAATAGATATAGCACGAAATCAATCTATATATAACCTATATTATGTAAAAAAGTATTCATTCCACAACTAAATTATTCCGAGATTAAGAAAGAAAGCATAGTGGCAAAATTCAGGAGTTCTTACTAGATTATATAGACTTTGAGTGATTTTCACTTGTTTTATATTTAACTAGCAATTCCCGCGACTTCGTCCGCGTGGAATTAAACTTTATTTTCTAAAATAAAAGATATTTTCTAAAATAACAGTAGCCTGAGTTACTCGTTATTACATCAGCTACCTGCCAAAAAAGTCCCGTCAAAATCAGTCCAGCCATTTCAGAGATTAGCCGGAACAAATAGACAGGCAGACAAAAATTGTAAAAAATGTTATTTTGGTTTATGTACCGTGTTTATATTCATATAGTAATTTATTATTTCAATATTACAAACAGACACTCCTATTTCAATTATATGTATAGATTGACTTTAGTCGTGCGTATGTACGTTTTGTTTATGGATGATACTGAAAAGATGCTCACTCACTGGGCACCAGTCGAAGACGATAAGATGAGCATGAGGTCAGAACAGTTAGTCCATCGTACTGAATTTACCAAGAATTTATCACGATGGTGTCCAGATCGAACCGCATGGAGGTGAATCCAACATGGTACATAGCAGTGGGGTTATTAGTCCACATTACTGACAATCCCCTTTCCCTGCCACGTGTATATTTGAAATCGATAAATCAAACAATAAATAAAATATCTGTGTCGCCATCTATGATTTTATTAGAATACTAATTATACAGTTGTAGGTAGTGTATTGAAACTTTTGATAAAATTAATTATTCCATCGCGTTGGGTATAATTTTCTCAGTTTAGTTTGGTCTATATTTGATAATATATTCAGCCTAATTCCTTTAGTAGACAAACAGCCGGTTTTGTCCTCGTCACGATTTTGCTATATCTTCTTAAGAATATTTATTAACATTAAAATATTTCTATATTGTATTACATTTTTAAATTCTCATGGTTCTCACGCGTTCAGCGTTCATAGGATATATATATATATATATATATAATATATTTACGGAATTGGACCTATTGTTAATGATGGAAGTCTATGTAATAATTGCACGGTATAGTTTTCGTACAATTAATAGAACACTCTTAAACTATATATTGATACTAAAGTACATTTTAGAAAATAATATGCTGCATAAAGAACGGTTACTACCACATTTCGTCAGTTCGCATTCGTTTCGTTCGTTTGTTCATTTCGCATATTTGTCATTCCATTCTTAAGAATTAAAAAAAACAAAGTTGCTATTCAGTAGTATAGCAAAACCTCAACAAAAATTAAATAACCATTCACATGAAGAGATATTTACATTTTATTATCACTCGATAACAAATGGATTCAATTGTCACAGTGATCAATGACTTAGTCTCTTATCCGGGCAAGATATCGAAAGACATAATTCTGATATTTTTGTTGTTTAACTCTTGTGATAACTTCAATCATTACTGATAACTTGACACGCCTCTGACTGGACGGGCAGTGATGTCATAAGAAAAGGTGGGCGTAGTAAGACCTGCCCAGAAAAGATATGAAATACATTAGACTTTGTAAAAAATCATCATGTAATATAATGTACAGGTTGACCCACGTTCGTTTGCGTCACATTTTCCCAATTTCTTTGCAACAGTTTTTATTGTAGCTTCACTCCTATTGGTCGTCGTGTGATATGTAGCCAAGCCTCCTGTATTTTAAAACAACTTTTATTTAAAAGAGCAACACCCAAGTTTCTTATTTGTTCTCATTGCGATGACACTCTGCTTTACGAATAATCGGTAAAATAAAAAAAATATCATATGAATTAAATATTCATATGATATTTTTTTGTCCTTGTATTATTTAAGAATATTTGAATAAAGATTATTTCTTCCTTACTATATTAGTAATAAATAAATAAAATTAAATAAACTCAAAATTACTCAAATGATATTCAACTTATACGATACCCTTATAGATAGCTAAGTGACCTACTAGTATGAATAAGATTGGTATTTTTAATATTAATAAGAATTATTATACCAAGCGTAACTAGTCTAGAGAACTTTGCATGTTGTTGGCGTATAAAGCAACCAGATAACTTGACCGCGTAAAACGGGTTTCCTTGAAGTAAACTTGTGTGTGATATGATATGGATTATACATTGCATCAGATAATTTCATTATTTTTTATCGTATTTCTTTCTCTATTCCAAGACATGTCATTTATTATTCTTTCCTTTCCTGAGCCTTTCATGACGATTAAATTGTTAGAGCATAAAAACGTAACAAATAAACAAATTTATTTGTATATTACTTTCGCATTATGCACTGGCTTCGCACGGGGTGTACATGTATTATCAGTTCTCTATGGATAAAAAGTGCATTTAAATCTGTTCCGCGGTTTAAAAGATCTAAGCGAACAGAGAGCAGAAGCGACTTCATTTTATACTGTGCCTTTCATTTTTTCATAAAAAATAAATAAAAGAAGTTACTTTCGCATTCATACTATGAACTAAGTACCCGCACCAGCTTCACACGGGTGTACATGTATTATACATATAAACTTTCTTCTTCATTGTTTATTGCTAAAAACTGCATTTAAATTTATTGCGCAGTTTAAAAAATCGAAGCGAATAGACAGCGGAAGCTATTTCATTTTATAGATGTGAAGATACTTAGGATTAGAATCTTAGGCACTTGCATGTATGGATAATTGGGTATAGATAGAATTGGCAACAACACGTACTTTGCGTGCCCATTTTTGGCACTAATTTAGACACTGTAGTACTTAATTTATTCTCACTAAATGTCAAATTAGAATGCCCTAAATAAAATATATAGGGGTTAACAAAAACAGTGGATACAGCATTATTATTGAAAAAGGAGTTTGATGTCTTTTCTAACCTAAATGTAATGATTTTATTAATATTATAAAATAAATTTAATTGGGTTTTATATTTTCACAATTAAACTATTGTAGATATTTTAATGAATTTTGATTTTTAAGTAATATTTGATAGGTTTCTTTTTTGTGAAAATAAAAAATTTGAAAGCATGATGTATGAAAATATGTATGAATAATCTTATGATTGCATCTCAATATGGTAGAATCAAGAAATAATCATTTAAGTAATGAATTAAGTTAGCAGCAGTATTAGTTTGTAAGACCATATCATGCACTATATTTGTAATTGAGTGCAACCTATAGCTTTAATATTGTCATATACATATATTAATGTAAATAGAAATTGCAACGCCGGTGGTATCAAATAAATAAAAAAAGTTCATTTCTATTCTATTCCATTGAATGTTACGATTGCAGCGTAACAATGATCGGTGACCAACTGCGCAGATAAATGTCAAATACATACATATATCATTAATTGTGAGGCGACATAAGGCGCGTCTATTTTAATAAAGAGTACTATCACGTGCAATGTTAGACGGTCTTAGCTACATGTTAGTATTGTACGTTGGTCAATGTCAATTTAATAGGTAAATGGGTTAAACGTCACTCAACACGGGCAGAAAAAGTGAATAAAAGGCCAGAAGTCTGTGCATTTTTTTTTATTTTCTCTGTAAATTGTTTCTAAAATTATGTTATCGAGAGATAGGTTTGGAGAATGTCTGCGAATCCACTGATTGATCGACTGAGAGACTGATCTGACATATTTCAAAAATTAATAGCAAACACGACGGCCCAAGTGGAAACCGTGTACATTAGGGGGGGTTATTAGTAATGTATACTAGTGACCCAATTCCTAGCAATATACCACGTCAGGAGAAAGGTTTCCCCTGACTTGATACATTGCTGGTACATTGCTTGTTATTCCTTATAAATCACGATGGTCTAACTGCCCTCAGCTCAGGCTCGTCTTAACAACCTTCACAGCGCAAGCGGGTACATCATTATTAGCCATAAAAAAATCCCTCATACGTTGCACTTTCTAAGTACCCACTAAGAAGATATTATAGGATTATATATATTATGTACTTTGAAACTATGTGCATTAAAATTATATGAAAAAAGAAATGTCAGGTAATTTAACTATATCGCATCATGCAAGCCGAATCGTATCCAAATTGAGATTGACGACTGAAATAGTGAGACAGAGGTACTTCAGTAGACGACTTTCTATAAAATCAACCTGATTAATAAAAGTAATGTAATGCGTAGTAATGAAGATAATATTTTTAAAAAGGTGTTATATATGAATGTGGATGGTTATAAGGGCAGAGGAAGGCCGAAAAAGAGATGGATAGACTCTGTGAAAGATGATGTAGTAAGAAAGGGAGTAAATAACGAAGTGACTGGTAAAAGGGATGAATGGAACAGAAAAACATATTACGCCAACCCCAAAGGAATGGGACAAGGAAGAAGTAGAGGATAGTGATGGAAATTAAAAGTATACAGAAACGTACAAGTGTAATGTAGTTATGTATTTATTAATAACGTTGTTATCATACATACTTGTATATTTTCTTCTGTTATATAACAACACTGCGTCAATGGCAGTCCTGATAAGACATTTTCCAGGTAAACAAAACCATACTCCAAGCATATCTCTGTAAATGTTTACCACGAAAATTGATTAAATTCTGTCCGTTTCTTCCGTTGCGAGTTGCGATGTTACTGAATTGATTCAGAATATTTTCTATGTAGTGGTTTTGTTATATTTTATTTCGCTAGTGATGTTTCTTAACTTAAATAACTAAATGCTTAATGTACTTATTTAAGTCACGATTAAGTATTTGATTTGTTTGATTGGAAAGAAGAAATCATTACGATAAAAATGTACTATTATTAATCTATACATCTATACATATAAATCAAATTGGAGTGTCTGTTGGTAATATTGAAATAACCGTTTTTTACTACATGCATTTGAATATAAATACGGTGCATACACCAAAATTACATTTTTTACAATTTTTGTTTGTCTGTCTGTTTGTTCTGGCTAATTTCTGAAATAGATGGACCGATTTTGACGGGACTTTTTTTAGCAGGTATCTGATGTAATAAGGAGTAACTTATGCTCCTTTTATTTTAGAAAAAAAAAAGTTAAATTACACACGGACGAAGTCGCGGGAACAGCTAGTTATGAAATAAAAATAAATAAGTTAATAATAATAATAGCAAGACTCAGTTGCTTACAGTAACTATATATATGTATATTAGGTATTATTTGCTATGAATACTGTACCTAATATTGTGTCATGTGGGAATAATCTGAAATGATATATAAATTATATATTTGTTTTTAAAAATCATAATTCAACAGCAATAAATATGAGTAATACGCAACAACAAAATATGCATCTCATATAAACATCTTATCATGGTCGATAACTGTCTTATGGGTTTGATAAGAAAATTTTCCACTAATTGTACGATTAACCCTCAATAAATAAAAAAACTTATGTACTAACGAGCGGATTTTTCCGTTGCAATCATTTCAAAGTAAAAAAGGCTTAATCAATCAAATTAAGTAAAAAAAGTAAAACAGGCAAAATTACCGAAATTAAATTAAAATAGAATGCCAAACTAAACTTTGTAGAAAGTTGTTAACTTGGGAATCCCTGTCTAGCCGATTTCTATCACCATTTCGCTTGACGTAAGAGCGGATATTTTATATTTTAGTTAAATTACTAATACGAGTCGAGCGGATTTTTTTTATTTTAGGTAAACTACTAAATATCTTAGTTATAAGCTACGGTTAACAAGGATGCAATACAATAAAATATCTTATCTACAAGGACAACACGTACATCAATTAATTTTGGAATATCTGTAGTATTCAGGTTTGTTGGCGACAATAGCTGACATACCATTTTCTAACATATAAGCTGTTTTCTGGTTTGCCATCCCAATCCAGTTGTGTAAAACAATCAATAGTATTTGTAATTACTCTCCTACTACTATTACTAAATACATAATACACTAATTTAAAATGTGTTCTAGATAAACGAGACAAAGTTGTTTTTTCTAATAGGTAGAAATAATCCAGAACTGTTAATCTGATGCCGGTTTTTATTGTCACCAGGTCAACTAAAAGGCTGGACGAGCCCCAAGGACGTGATCCTGAAGGTCGCCGGCATCCTCACAGTGAAAGGCGGTACTGGTGCCATTGTGGAGTACCACGGGCCCGGTGTCGACTCTATATCCTGCACAGGAATGGCCACCATTTGCAACATGGGTGCTGAGATCGGCGCCACCACCAGTGTTAGTTTTTTTTAATTATTTTTGAGGCATTGTATAAAACTGCAACTAAACGTTGCAGTTTTATACAATCCATGATATTAAAGGACCATCCAAAAATTATGTCACATCTACAAAGTGTGACAAAGGGACAGAGCGCTTCTAAATGTCGTCACCTCACATTTCAATATCTAATATAAATACCTCTAAGTATTAAAACACGATTTAATACACACACATTTTAACTATTAAAAAAAACTATATCCACTTTTATCTGTACAAATATCTGGCTAAAGACGAAATCGATGAATGGACTGTATAACAGATATGGCAAGAAAAGGAGTGAATAACGAATAAAACTTCAAATAGGAATGAATGGAAGAGAAAGACATTATGAATGAGATATGAGAAAATCAGATGGTGATGAGGTTTAAACTGTTTTGTTTACAAGTTTACACTCCGTTCACTTATGTATATACATTTGGTGAAGCTGTAAAGGCCAGCTACCTCCGTCAGTGTTAGAATAATTGAAAAAACAAATAGTATAATTGCAAAATATATAACGTCGTACTAGGGAAGCGGGAGTCTTTGCCACATTGCAAATGTGACAAACGTAATTAAATTCCTGTGACAAAATTTATAGATAGATAGGGTCCTAACGATCATTATATTATTATTTAATCATATCTATATCCTGTCTTCAATGTCAAAAGTATTTCCTACCACGTTTATCGTTTTATACTACATACATCTACATCTAACCCCCTAACCTTCATTATGTTATCTCCTACTATATTGTACGTAAACCGTTCGTAGTAAACACTGATATTGAATACAAATGGTATTTTAAATGGAGGTTTGGAACTTATTGAGCAAATATATGTTTGTATACTAATAATGTTACTGAGAGAACGGATTTCGTTATGAGGAAAGTAAAGTCTAAAATGACTGGCACGGATTTAAAAAATTATTTAAATTATACATTTTTTCCATAATACTATATATATTACAATATACATATATAATATACAAAAATAATGAGCATTGTATACGGTATAAAGGTATCCGTAGAAAGTGAAATCGTGACATCTCCTTCATGGGATTTACTTGAGCGAATAACTATTTGATAGCCTAGTATATAGAAATTATATTTATGATATAAATAAATGTTTTTTTAAAACATGTAATTTCTATATATAAAAACAGCTGGTATATATTTATTTCCGATTCTGAACAAAATCCTTTCAAGATATCCGTCAATTCTGTACACTATGTTATTAAAGTACGTACGAAATCACTGAGTACAAAGGCAAGATGATTATCTCATTGTTCAATTTATATACACAGGTGTTCCCCTACAACTCGCGTATGGAAGCGTACCTTAAGTCGACGGGCCGCCAGAACGTCGCGTCCAACGCAAATAACTACAAGCAACTGCTCACACCGGACGAAGGTGCACCTTATGACGAGGTAATAAGTTATAAATTCACGTAAACTTTTTTCATCAAACTGGAATGTCAAATAAGTTTATGAACCATATAGGAAAGTGGCAACCCTCGCTTTTATATGTATATAAACACCATGTGCAGCACATTGTCTAGTTCACGCTCGTAGAAACTCTTATAAATTGTCATTTCTCAGAATTAAGTTGTCCTGTCTCTGTAATGTCACTGCCATATCACCTTCACACAGAAAAGAGGTTGTAAAACAAGGTGCTTAACCACAGACATGTATGAGACAGAGTTAGTGTGTATGTACGTACAAAACGTCACGTGTTTTGCATCTCTTTACCCTTGATTAATTCTGGTCAAGTCAAAATTTTGAAAGTTCTAAATTGTGTTACCAATTTCTTACTACAGAAGTGTAGAAAGTAGACAATACTCTATTTTCTACACACTCGAGATTGGGATACCTTAACCAGTATCGTATCGTTGTATTGCCACTCCAGGATTACGTGAACAACCGGTTTGTTGTGATGATTAATTATGATACATATTACTATTACAGTTGATTGAGATTAACCTGTCGACCTTGGAGCCCCACGTCAACGGTCCCTTCACCCCGGATCTGGCGAACCCCATCTCCAAATTGGGCGAGGCGGCTAAGTCGGCCGGCTGGCCAGTGGACATCCGCGTGGGTCTCATCGGATCCTGCACAAACTCCTCATACGAAGACATGGGCCGCTGCGCCAGCATCGTAAAGGAGGTTTGTTGTTTAAGAAAATTCATTTATTTCTCAATCAGTAATGTTAATAATTACCGGATACAAATATAATCTTGTTTTAGGTTGTGATAAAGGTAAATAGGTATTTTATGGGAATGAACATTAACTCTTTCCATAGTATAAAATGAAGTCTCTTACGCTCTCTGTTCGCTTAGATCTCTTAAATTACACAACGGATTTTAATGCAGTTTTTAGCAATAGAGTGATTCAATAGGAAATATGTATAATACTTGACACTCGAGCGAAGCTGGGGCGGGTAGTTAAGTGTTATAAAAAGCTTTCAACAAATTTGTAATTTACTGTATAATGTTAATTGTTCTGGTACGAATTTTTTTTATATATAAATATATGAAAGTATATAATATATAAAATGTATACTTTTATATCGTTATATAATATTGCCATTAAAATGTACGATAGTAAATTGATATCAGTGACACATGTCATTAACAAGAGCAATAGATCCGTTAAAATTATCTATGTATAAACAAGAACGGTAATAAAACTTTGGTTTTAAAATATAATAAAAAACTATAGAATTGTACCTGATATACAAATATGTATAAAGATTGTATATACATGGTTGAAAATAATACCTATACCGAACAGAGAGAATAAACGACTTTCAACAAAAAACACAGGATATCTGGAAATACATTTTGCATTTCTACAGAATCTTTATTTTTATTTTTATGTATTAATTTGCTTCAGGCAAGTTAATATTATTTATATAATTGGGGGCCCATATTATAGATACCCTAAGGATTAATATTATATAAAATAAAAATATTGTCTTGGTCACCACACTCACGCCGCGCAATCTGCCACGGTAGCGACGGTACACCACTCCTCTCGGCCAGTAGTCGTCCTTCATGTAGGACAGTAATTTTGTGGGGTCCCGGGCCTGGTATAGCATTTCAGTTGCATAAAAAATATTTCTAATGGTTTCAGGCGCTGAAACACGGTGTAAAATCCAAAGTACCATTCAACGTGACCCCCGGTTCAGAACAAGTTCGCGCCACCATCGAGCGTGACGGCATTGCGCAAACCCTGCGCGAATTCGGAGGCACTGTAAGCCTGGTTTATTTTTCTACTTCATTTCATTTGTCTTTTATTATTTGGAGTCGGCATCGCACATTTAATTATTTTAGAAAGATTAACGATGTAATATTACACTAGAAAATCTTCAGAAGACCCATCAGACCACCCCCATCAGAGAGATGACGAGGGAGTGAGTGGAATTCTTACCCACTAAAATATTACAAGGTGTACCTACTAGCGCCATTGCCTGGTGGCATTGGTTGTTATAGATGATGTAGGGCAGATCCCATTTTGTTGTTAGGGCGACCTATATCGCCCTATTAAATTGTGGAAGCGTGTGGGTTCACGGGGCACGGCTCCGAGAGAGTCTCGTGATCTAATAATAATAAATTTATATAGTTTACTATCGCAACTTAATCTGGCCACACATTTCCGATAAGAGTATGCCTCGTGATGACTACTCTCGTTCGTTTGGCTCTCATCTAAAGAGGGCGGGGTATAACAATAAGACAATTCACACAGCACTATTTAATCCTTTAGCTCGGGACTAAATTGTGCAGAGCTTTACGGATACTATACAACTGATAATCTCATGACATAATAATATAATAATCTCAGGACAATTCACACAGCGCCATCTAGACCCAAGTTAAGCTAGTTAAAACTTGTGTTATAATAATTGATACATATACATAGATTTTTTTTTGTAAATACATACATATTATACATAGAAAACACCCAGACCGATACAAACAATCATACTCATGAATACAATATTTGTGCTGTGCTAGGAATCGAACCCGCGACCAACGTCGTCGTCCATGGTCGTCCAACTGATACAAGTACATAATATATGTACATAGAAAACACACAGACCGATACATACAATCATACTTATGAATATAATAATGTTTATACCGTGGAATCCTACTAGCGACAATCAGAAGACAAACGGTGTGCTAGACCGCTAGACCACGAAGCTGTTAAGATCCTAATAATGTGTGAACAAGGTTAAGCTGAAAGTCAATAAGTTCTCGTCATCACAAATTGACACTCGTTCTATCACTATCCAGGTATTGGCTAATGCGTGCGGTCCTTGCATCGGTCAATGGGACCGTAAGGATGTGAAGAAAGGCGAAAAGAACACCATCGTAACGTCATACAACAGGAACTTTACAGGACGTAACGACGCCAACCCCGCTACCCACTGCTTCGTCACCAGTCCCGAGCTCGTAACTGCTCTATCGCTAGCTGGTAAGTTCATGATTGAAACTTTTTTTTTATCTGATAAGCGACGACCTACCTGATAGAAAGTCGGAAACATCGCCTATATACATGAACAATATTACGTTATGTAAGGTTTGTGGACATCTTAGTCTTTCTGTGCGTATGCACGTTATTCCTCCAGACGCTATAAATCTATCATATTTTCTTAATTGTCTCTCGCTCCTTTTGAACCTAAATACAGCTTACAAAGCAAGCTGATTGGCGGAGAAATGAGTTGTACAGAGGTATCCACGCTTTGTCTAAAAAATTTATAATTATAATCTACCGAAAATCATGTATGGTACCTATATGAATATAAATGAATTTGAATGTATACAAAACTTACTTTATTTGTCTTTGCAGGTCGACTGGACTTCAATCCCCTAACTGACGAGTTGACAGGCGCCGATGGCAAGAAATTCAAGCTGTCAGATCCGTTCGCGGACGAGCTGCCGTCCAAAGGATTCGACCCCGGCCAGGACACATACGAACACCCACCTGCTGACGGCTCTAGTTAGTGTTTTGTTATTGTTTCTAGTATATCCGCAATCACTTTCAGTTTACTATAATAGGATGGTTAGCAGATGACAATGTGAATCACTAATCAAATCTAGACACGCGGTAGCGTGTTAAAGCCGAGTTCAAGTACGAGAACTGGCGTTTGTAGTTTTACACGAACCATTTGGAGCCACTTTTCAACTATGAACTTTACCCAATAAATCAACTTACTCTGTTCCGTTTCTAATAAATAATCTGATCTGTGTGTGTATCTTTTTTTTTTCTGCCACAGATGTATTTTTCTTTAATAAATTCTATTTTTTAAATTTATTTTCTTTTGTAAATACAATAAGAGCTGACAAAAAACTAGATTTTTATGTTAATATAACTATTAAATATTTTGTTTTTCTATTTCAAATCGCTAGAAGTGGCAGTGGACGTATCCCCAAGCTCTGATCGCCTTCAACTGCTAGCTCCTTTCGAGAAGTGGAACGGCAAGGACCTCACCGACTTGACCATCCTCATTAAGGTGAAGGGGAAGTGCACCACCGACCATATCTCCGCCGCCGGACCCTGGCTGAAGTACCGTGGACATCTTGACAATATCTCCAACAACATGTTCATCACGTAAGTAATTGTTTTTAGGAAGATTAACGGTTTTGTTTTATATGTTACTGATCATGTTGTATTGACCTATGCAAGTTAATAATCTTCACCAATAATATATTTTGCTCATAATAATCCTAAGCAATATATGATCGTGTTATAGAGGAACAGATTAATGCTATAGTCTAGCATCTGACAATAACCCCAAACTCTAAATAATAGAATTAAAAGGTATTGACAATTATAAAACTTCAGAAGTTAAGATCAGTGCCATATTTGGAGATTTTTTAAACGTCCCTTTATATATTTTTTTTGTACAGCGCCACAAACGCGGAGAACGGTGAATTGAACAAGGTTCGCAACCAGTTGACCGGCGAATGGGGACCCGTGCCAGCGACCGCCCGCGCTTACAAGGCGGCCAACACTCCCTGGGTCGTCGTCGGCGACGAAAACTACGGAGAAGGATCATCTCGCGAGCATGCTGCGCTAGAACCCCGACATCTTGGTGGACGCGCCATTATCGTCAAGTCATTCGCTAGGTGCGTACATCATCATATTATCGTTATTTATTAAGGAACAGGACATCGTACTTTTGAAATATTTGAGGAAATCCAAGGAAAGTTTAAAAGATGAGAAAATGTGAAAATTGCAGAAATTGCAATACCAAGCGGCAACTGTTCATACCAGAAAACAGTTATTGAACTTTTACACATTATTCAATTCTGAGGCAAATCGGAATTCGGCGGGTTAGCTAGTTATGCATGTATGAAAGAACTTTTATAATGGCTATAAATGAATATTAGAGATATAAAAAATATATTTTTTGCCTTTACAATAATATTATTTTAACTAATATTACAGAATTCACGAGACCAATCTGAAGAAACAGGGTATGCTGCCGCTGACATTCTCAAACGCCGCGGACTACGACAAAATCCAACCAACCGACAAGATTTCACTTCTAGGACTGAACAGCCTCGCACCTGGCCAGGTAACATTTGAAAGATATTTAGACATCTCAATAACAAATCCAACATCAGACACGAGTAGTAATGGGCCAAAACACCAACATGATATATAGAGACTTGTATTATGGACCTACTTCTAAATGCATTACAATAATCCACCACGTAACTGTATTGTATAATACAAGTGGGGCAGAATCGTGTTTTAATACAATAGGGTTCTTTTATGGATGATGATGGAATAGTCGCCCGCCTGATGATATACCCTGATGGGGGCGACCTGTCGAGGATGATAGGATCATAATGAAGTCAGTTAGGTGACGGTAACGGTTTAGTGCACCGCCTTTCCGATGGTCGCAGGTCAGATTCCTGGCACGGTACTAATATTTCTATTTGTATGATTGTTTGTATCACTGGGTGTTTTCGATGTAGGTATATTATGTATGTGTATATTCCATTGTATCACTAAACCATAACACGAGGTCTACTTAGCTTCGGACTAGATGTCCTGACTGATGTGTGAATTGTCCTGAAATATTATTATTATTAACATGACCAACTCGCCAGGAATTAAATGCGATGGTTAGGAAAGTATATATATATATATATTTATATAGTAATATACACAGTATATATATATATATATATATATATATATATATATATATATATATATATATATATAGTAATATACAGTGTATATATATATATATATATATATATATATATATATATATAGTAATATACAGTGTATTAGTATATTCTTAACTATCAACTCTGTACTGCTTACTAATGTTGTTACACTTGATGCGACCGCAAGTTCGAACGTGTGGTATTCAGATTAACAATAGAATATAGGTTTTTAATAATGAGGCAAACACTAAATGTTAATTCAAATTAGTTTTTCCGCGTTTTAGGGCTTATTAACGAACAGCATTTTTTTGTAATATATAAATTTAGGCAGTCCAGAGTGGACTTAAAACTTAGGCAACTCTGGACTAAAACATTACATATATTGCCACTATATTATATTTTTGTATATTAGTCATAATTGTAATAAACATTTCCATTTCTCCTTACAGCAAGTCGATTGTGAAATCAAGCACAAGGATGGCAACACTGAACGCATCAAGTTAAACCACTCCCTGAACGAACAACAGATCTCATGGTTCAGAGCCGGTTCCGCGCTGAACAGAATGAAGGAAATCGCAGCCGGCAAGTGAAGTACCAGACGCCTTAACAAGTCGCTATTATGAAACTTGCACTGGTAATTTACCCTCAATTTTAGGGTAATTATAAATCAACTAGCAACAATGAGCCATAAATTAAATACTATTTATAAATGCGGTGCTAGCAAATGTAATGTTAAATGAATTCAATATTTTGTATTCAAAGACATGAGAATCTCATGCCCTAAGAACAAGATAGAATCCTGATTAATGTAGCGAGTAAACTCATTTGGCACATTTTTATTTATGGCGTTACTGATGAGTTGGAAGAGAAAGCATGTATAATGTTCGAAAATTTAAAATTTCATAGGTTCTTTGGTTACGAAACTTCATTTGTTTTGTTCAGTATTCTCTCGTCTGTGTAGATGTAAGATTACTGTTATATCTAATTATCTACCAGTAAATATGACACCTAACAATATTAAAATGTAAAAACATTTTAAATGTCGAATTGTCATTTGTATATACGATATATTTCAACTCATTATCGACTTTAATGTGATATACATAGGGTTTAATTGCTATTTTAATCAGTGAATAATGTTAATTCTTGTTCTTAGGCTCATGCCTTTCTAGGTAGGTAGGTTAGTTTGCCACAACCAGTGCAAGAAGTGACGTTACCATAGTTGTCAAAGATTTTTGTTTAAGAACACATTTGATTAATATCAGTCGGACAATACAGCAGCAGTGAATCTTCTATTGTTAGCGTAGTATAAATGATAGATGAAATTAGATTAAGTTTCAATATTTCCCTTTTTAAATGAATTGTAAATCCTACGAATTCAACTCGTTTTATTTTATTTATGTAAATAATATTTACCTGGAAATAAATTTACTTATACAATGTTATATGTTTTATTATACATCCCACAATATATAAATATGAGGTACTAAAATATATAATTATTGATCCAATCCATCCATCCGATGTGCCGCGTGAAGGTCAGGCTGATAGGGCAAATGCTAGTAATGGATCCACTAGTCCTTAGTACTAATTAACCCGCTTTTTTTACAAAAAGGAAAATTCAAAATTAATGTTGCTGTTTAAAATGAAATCTTTTAGGAACTTACCCAAGAATGAAATGATGAGGAATGAATTTCATGACAAAGCGAGACTAACGGATAATGCACTAACCCTGTAGAATATTTCCTGAAGCCAAAACAATGATCACGAAATACGAATACTAAGAATTACCTTATATACCACCACCATTAATAAAAAAATATTCATGGATATTAACAATGATAACATCTCAAAAAAGCTGAAGTTTCAAGCTTTCAAATGGCATATTATTTTTATTTAAATGTTGTATATTTTTATTTAGAACTATGTTTGAATGTAGCGGTAGCGCTTGAGTCGATTTGGTTGCTCGCGGATGTAGTTACATGGATAGCCGATACACTTTATTATGAACAAGACAAAAATATGTTTACGTCAGTACGTTTGGTCGATCGCTCTATCGATGGTCTGATTAGAACTTAAAAAAAAATTGCGACCCCTTTGATCAGAGCAAAGGGATCGCTATTTTTTTATTATAATTTACGATACTAGCGACCTGTCCTGGTTTCGTACACGTGCATTACAAATCATTGTATTTCTGATATTGTTCTGTACTATAACATGCATGTATCATACTTATAAACCTTCCTCTTGTGGGGGAAGGGGACTGTTAGTAATGGGGTCACCATTACTAGCAATGTACATGTCAGGTTGACCTCCACGCGGTTCCCCCTGGAAACCGTCGTGAGAAAATCCTAGTGAATTTGTCACGATGGGCTAACTGACCTAACCTCATGTTCATCTTATCATCCTCCACTGGTGCCACGCCAGCGTAAACCGTTAGCGCAGGCACGTGCATAATTCCATTATCATCCACTAAAAAAAACCTTCCTCTTGAATCACTTATGTATTGCTGAAAACTGCTATACAATACGTTGCGTAATTTAAAAGATATAAGCTAATTCAACTGCGATGACTTTGTTTTATGTATTATTTAAAGATAATGATTTATATGCTGCATTGAGGAGCATCGTTTGATGTAACGATGTTCTATTACTATTCCTAACAATTCCCTCCCCCAATGCATATATGGTTCTGTAGCTCTTCCTATTTGATATTTGAAAAAATTCTACAACCATCGCGTCACCTGCGTCAGGTGACGCGATGATTGTGGAAGAATTAGAGATGATACATTCAAATAACTAATGACGACCTCGATGGTCTAGTGGCTTAACATAGCATACCATACCATTTACGTCCGATGGTCGCGGGTTCTATTCCTTGCACGGCACAAACATTTTTATTCATGAGTATGATTATTTCTGAATTGTCCTGAGAATATTATTATTATAATGCCTCTAGACAATTCACACGTCATCTAGTACAAAGATAAGCTAGCTAAAGCTTGTTATGGATACTGGATAACTGATACAAATATATAGATATTTTTTTCGTAAATACATAGAAAACATCCAGACCGACACAAACAATCACACTCATGAATACAAATGTTTGCACAGTGCGAGGGATCGAACTCGCGCCTAGCGGAATTAAAGCGGTGATCTAAACCGTTAGACCACCGAGGCCGTCATAAGTACTTATATCTAAAAAAAACGGGTACATGGTACACAAAAAAGGCAATATAGTGTAAAACTATTTAATGTTGCACATCTTAATCTTCATTGTCTTCATTGTCGCTGTCAGCGTTGATGTTGAAGTAGCGTAGTTCGTACGCATCGTGCTCTGACGCAACAACACGCAGCCAATCACGCAGGTTGTTCTTCTTCAGGTAACGTTTTGTCAAGTATTTCAAGTACCTCTTGGAGAACGGAATGTCTGAAAAAAAAAACACAAATTGTACATTTTAGTCAGTCTCACAATAATGACAATCTACTTAAAAAAAAAAATTCTTTATCACTAGAAATTAACATAAATTTTATATTTATGTCGGATTACTATTTTACCATCATAATGAATTTTTTCAGTGATAGTGATGGAATGACAGCTGGCAGAACTCAAAAGAGGACAGATGGAGTAGATCTTTACCAAAAAGGGACAACAACTTGGTAGGAAACCTTAATTCTGTTCTCAGATTTAATTCTTACACAATACAAAGATTTAATTCTATAGAATAATTAAGATTAACATTCTATATATATAGTTCAAATAACTCTTACAGGAGGGAAGGGGGATTGTTAGTAAGGTGGTACTAACACCCCCTTTGCAAGCAATGTACCATGTTAGGTTGACCTCCACAAGGTTCTCCCTGGAAACCATTGTGATAAATTCCTGGTGAATTTACCATAACTGACTTGACTTCTTGTTCAACTTATCATCCTCCAATGGTGCCCCGCCAGCATAAACTGTTAGCGCAGGCGTGGCCACCATTCCATTATGATCCATGAGAAAAAATAGTTCATACAAGAACACTTTTTAAATAATGATTCATAAATATGGAAAACTATATAAATATTCTTGTAAAATTAAATAAAGCGGACATATTTTAGTTGTGATTATTCTCAAGATCTGTCTAAATTCCTTCTTTATTATAATCCTACTTAATTTGTTTATAATCAAACTTGAAAATATTAAAATATAAGAGCTGATACAAAATATATTAACCTAAATTTAAACATTATTGCATATATAGAATCTCATTTGAGAGCAGAGTACAGATTCTTATTAGATGTTCTCAGTTCAATGTTCGGAACTGGTTAATTTGTCCTATGTTTGTTTATACCATAGAGTATTTATAATAATATATAAACAAACATATTTTGATTCAAAGTACTCCTAAATTCTAAAAGCTCACAGGAATATACGAGTTGGTTTGGTATAAACATATTTGCTCACAATATTTACCATAAAATGATTTGTGTTGAATTTAATATTATATTACTATGACTTTCAATTTACTTCCTAAAAATTATATTAACAGCATTTCATTTATTGATGCATTTTTTCTTTTCATCTTTTTATTTTTTTTATTGATTTAATTCTTATTCTTTAAATGTCATTATAAAAAATGTGAGTTGTTAAAAACTACAGAAACTACTATGTACATGAGTGTGATAATATTATCGTTTTTTATTTTATTTTATTAAAGCAGACAAATCTAACCTGCGTTGATTGTCACTTTGGTCTTCTCTCTTGCGATGACAACGTGATTGCCCAAGTTATTTGTTTTGCCCTCAACTTTGACACGCTCTTTCAAGTACTTCTCAAAATTAGCTACATCAAGAATACTGTCTTCAGCGGGATGTGTGCAGTCAATGGAAAACTTTAAATTGATTTTCCTTTTGCTTCCCTTGCCGCGGATTTTGCCACCTTTGACACCCTTCTTGCCTGTCTTCTGGTTCAACTGGGCCTTTTTAGGCGCCGGCTTCTTTGTCACTGCCATTTTGAAAATCTGCAATGCATAGGCATTAATTGTAGTACAAAAATAAATGTGAATTTAGTTAAAATAAGCGATATTTTATATAATAACCTACAGAACACGTGTAGATGTAGCCGAAAAAACTACAAAATGGCCGACTATACAGAAAATATCAAACTTGTTGGCAGCTTTGACAGCTTAAAAGTCTGTTGTCAATTGACAAAGATTTCTAACCACAGATAATATTTATACAACTGGACCCAGTTACTGGAATATGCACTTGCCTTAGAACTAAAAATAAAAAGAATTATTCTTGATTTCTTTTTCTTTTTTATTGCATTTGCGTAGCAGGTACTTGTTCAATTAAGTAAAGAAATATTACTTAATTCATATACTAATAATTATCATTAAATGCAAGTTCTTCTGAAATTATTAATTTATCATTTTGTATAATAACGAGATTACTTGCTCAGTTTTTTTTTTATTTTACGAAAATCTTATTTTATTATTTTTATTCAAATCCAAAAAATAAATTTCTCAATTCTGAATTAAACTATTAAAAAACCTTCAATTACCTAAGTATATCAAGATATTTCTTTTATTTTATAATAAATTAATATTTTTAAGGTTCTGTATTGAACATCCTTATGTAATTCCACCGCCGTATGCCACCCTTCAAACAAACTAACAAAAGTTACAATTCATAACAAACCGTTCAGTGGTAGAAATGGATGACAGTGGTAATCACGCAGGCCACGTCTACCTCGGTAAAAAAAAGGAAATTCTTACTTTTGAGAGATGGAATAAATTTATTGAAATAATTGCACATTGTTTGTCATATACACATAATATATTTTGAGAGAATAATATTTATTCAATACAATTAAAATTCGTACCGTACGTGCTTATTACTAATTAAATACATCTGTATTAAAATCATTGATAATTACAATATTACATAATCATAGTCGTCAATACTACATTATAATTATGACGCCACTTCTTTATAAATTTAAATATCATTAGTTGTCTCAATATTTATTATTTTCAATGAAGTTTATAATTAATATTTGAGTCCGAATTCTCAATTCACCAAATTTAGATACATCTAGGAATGGAATATATTTTTTATCACTGCATTCTCTCATTTTAGTTATGCAGCAACATAACTAAAATGATATTTACTTCTAGGTTTTTTTCCAAGAATAATACATCTCCAATGGCTTGTTGACCTGTAATACAAAATGATAAATAAGTGATTATCCATAGTTTTATACTAATTGGTTCATTAAAAATTAATAAAAGATATTATTCATGGCCATAATGTACTCTTTCAGTGCATTTGATTTTTGCACTAATAAAAATGTGTTGAATTTTAAAAATATAGGGTATAGTGTCTTCTGACAACAATAACTTTCTTATAAAATATGTATTTATAAATTTTGTAAATCAATACCCCTGGAGGCAATCTTTGAATTTTTGTATCTACAGTGTGCCACCTGTCTTTTCACTGTTAATTTTAAAAGTCGTCTATAAGAGATTGCTTTTTGCTAAGCTCATCTATACATAGTGTTCTTTTTACTTATACTTAGTGTGCGCAATATACAGTTATTGAGAGGAAAATGATTGTTAGTAATATGGACCAATAACCCCATTGCTTGCATTTTATCACCTAACATGGTTGACCTCCACATGGTTCCCTCTGCAAACGATTGTGATAAATTCATGATGAATTTACCACTATGGGCTAACTGGCCTGACCTCATGCTCATCTTATCATCCTCTACTGGTGACCCGCCAGCCTAAATGTTAGCGAAGGCAGGTGCACCATTTATCATCCATTAGGAAAAATATAAATGCAGTTATTATTATTGATATACATGTCAATTTCAATTTTTTAGAAAATAAATTCATTATTACCTTCCAAAATTTATCATTAATCTGTCTGAGAGTCTGTGAGCCAGCCAGAGGGACAAACTGGCCAGGAGATGGTGCAACATAGATGCAGAAGTTAAGGAGACGGTATGCCTCTGGTAGTTCTGCATCCAGATCTAGTGTGAGACGCATAGCTAGGTACTTGCTTAAGTGGTCAACTGGAAAAAGAAAATAATTATTTATATTATGGAATGGATGCATGTATATTGTTCTACAGATATCCATCCATCATGTGTGAAAGATGATATGGTAAAAAAGGGAGTAAATAACAAAATGACTGTGAACAGGGATGAATGGATGAGAAAAACATACAACGAAGATATTTCATTGTCAGATTATTAAATATGTATTTATGTTATGGTTTATGTATGTGTAAATCAATATGTATCTATTTCTTCATATATACTTATATGTGTATCCTTTAATATATTTATAGTTGCACCACCAACAACTGCACTGCACCATCTATGGTTGCCTTGTAGAGAATGCCGCATGGTGTTAAGTCCGCCATATGTACTTTAAATTAATAATTACCTGATGCATTAGCAGTTGTCTTCAGGTATCGCACAGAGCTATCCCTCAGTGCCCTCATGAGTTGGTTGTCACCAGTCATCTCAGTCGGATGAGGTTTAAATACAAGTTCTATTTCATTTGGATTCAGAGGTTCCCCTTCACCCTCCGTGTCCATTGAGTTTTCACCCTCAGTCCTGGAAATATGTGATATAAACTAGTTAGGAATGTGTAATAGTTTTTATTGCTGTACATAATATAGATTAGGCAGTAAAATTACAGATAGTAAATAATGAGAGATATTATAGAATAGAATCGAAAATACTTTACTCAAATAAACTTAATTTAAGTTTAAATAAGCTTAAATAGTCATAGTTATCTTTCTTTTAATCTACTACTAATTCGGAAAGCTATCTCATCACAAGAGTGAGCAAGAAACTAAACATATTAAAGCTAATACTTACAAAGTAATAAGTAGTAATTTGTAATTACTGTCAATTTGTAATGTGTCAAGGCATGGTTTGGAAGAAAAATGTTTGTACATGGTGGAAAACAGCTTCTGTCATCAACTCAAAATCAACTTTAAAAAGGTTTACCTATACTATTATAAAACTATTGATGACTATTTGATGACCTTGGTGCCACACCGCTTTACGACAAATGGTTGCGGGTTCGATTCCACGTACGGCACAAACATATGTATTCCGAGTATGATTGTTTGTATCAGTCTGGGTGTTTTCTATGTATATTATGTTTGTATTTACGAAAAAAAATATCTATGTACTTGTATCAATTATCTAGTACCTGTAGCACAAGCTTTAGATAGCTTAACTTGGGTATAGATGGCGCTGTGAGCATTGTCCTGAGATTATTATTATTATAAAACTATATTAACAGCAAGCATTTCTTTAGGGGAAGAAAACTAAATTAAGGGTATTGACTAACCTGCCATCACTAGATTCACTCTCCTCACTGCGTTCAGAGGTCAAAATTGACTTTGCCCTCTTAGTTATGCTTGTGTTTTTTGATATAGAGCTTACACTAGACAAGACAGGGGATGGAGTACTCCTTACTGATGCAGGGTTAGATGTTGATTGTCCTGATGGCGCAGGATTACCAGTAGTAGGAGTTGTATCTTTAGGAACCGATGTACTGCCACCATTCTGACCTGCACTGTCAGTGTTACCATTGCAATTAGAAGTGTTACTGTTATCGTCCTGAGTTTTCCGAGATCGTTGCGGTCTATTTTGGGATTGAAGCTTCATTCCCTCACTAATAGAATTTACCAATGACGCCTGAGACTGCGACATACTTAATTTAGCCAACACCCGCTCCTGGTGGGCTTCGTACTCATCTCTACTCGGATATATTTTTGATATTAGCAAATCGAAATTCGGATCGGGTCGCAGGGACCGCTTTGACACTAATTTCTTCCGGCAAGTGGGACATTCCTTGTTGCCAGAACGTAATGCTGTCACGATGCAATCAGAACAGAATCTGTGGAGGCATTCCTTTGTGGTCATGGTCTTTTTAAGCATATCCAAACAAATTGGACACATCAATTCGCTGTGTAAACTTCGTGGGGAGACGGCAATCTCTGTAGCGTCTACTATGACTTCTTGAGGTACACGATGCAATTCGTACAGGGAAAGTTCCCAGGTTTTATTCTGGAAAGGTTCTGTCGACGACATTTTCGCAGTAAGTTTAGTATTTACTTAAGTCATGAATGTACCACAAGATTACGATTAATTAATTTACATCACGAAGATAGCGGTCCAAGACATAATAATAAATAAATAAAAAAATTATTAATCAATGACATTTGACAAATGACATATTAAACGTACCTACGTCAACTTTTTGCTTAATCTGAGCCCACAGATTAGGCGACTGTATTGTCAGTAAGCAAGTAATCACTACGTTTACGATAAAATATAAATTCCTTTATCTATACGACATTCTTCTAGTTATTAGATCGTCTTCATGACAAATAAAATGCAAGAACAAGAATCACGATATTAAAAACAAAATATTTACCTAATGTATAAAATGTAAAAAGTATTACATGGTTCAAAAACTCTGTATGTGTAAGAACATGCCTTGTTTCAAATTATAGAAACAAGGTATAATGTTCTTTCTGTCATTTACAAAGTCCCTACATAGGCTGCGGAAGTCCGTGTTAGCGTTGCATTGGCCTGGGATACGTAGAAATACTGTGGTATTCTTTAATGAAATACCACAGTATCGGCCTATATTTGGTGTGACGTATTCTTTTGAAAAATTTTCACCTTCTATGCCTCCACAAAATTACTGTGCTGCATTATAAGCATGACTTTAGTACATTCGTTATTGGCATCATAAGTATACTAGTGATATGGTTGTATTGACATGTAGGGACTACGACGGTTTTTTATTGTCTGTTGTTTCTAATTTGCCGATCTCTAAAATTTCCAATAGTACTCTTTTTTAGATTGCTTATAGCAAAGATATTGTTTATGTTTTTTATTTATCGTTTGTGCTCAATAAAAACTTATAAGTATTACGTTTTACTAAAAATCCGTTCAAATCTGTTACAGCATAAAATTTTCCTGAAGGTACTCGCAACAAAATGTAGTAATATTATTAGAAAAATAAAAACATCAAAAACACTTCATCACTGAATAATTTATTATGAATTCAAGAAATATTTCCAGTATAATATATGGAAGGTACCTATCTTAAGCAAGCGTAGTGCTAAGACATTTATTTTATTATACGGCTTTAAAGTAAAGAGCTGACACATAATAAATATTTTATCGTAATAAATAAAACAAATATATTATTATTTACAGGTAATAAATTAATTTACTTTATTTAATAGAACATTGTTATTAGGTAATTGCTGAACAGGAACTAAATATGTGTTGCCATTGTTGCCTAAATAATTGTTACCCAAGTTTTGTCCATTTAATGGCACTATAGTGTACACTTGATTACCTGATGGTCTTTCATTGCCAGGGTTAGCAATTATCGTTTGGCCCATAAGCTGTCCATTTTGAATGGATAAAGGTTGGTTTGGTTGCTGAGGGACTAGTATTGCTTGCTGGTTTCCAGGTTGTTGAACAAGAATGGCTTGGTTTTGTTGTGGTTGCAAACCATTTGGATTTTGAACTAGTATAGCTTGATTTGGCTGTACTTGGTTGACAGGCTGAGTAACCAATATTGCGTCATTGTTGGGTTGCTGAATTAGTATAGCTTGATTCGGCTGATTTCCTGGACGTAATAAGATTGGTTGTTGGTTCTGGAGATTACTTTGTGGAATTAGTATCTGTGCTTGATTTGGCTGTTGTTGGTTGAGTAGTATAGGCTGGTTGGACAATACTGGTTGCTGCGTACCTTGTTGCAGATTTGTGTATATTGGTTGTTGGTTTGGACTGTAATTTGCGGGAAGTGAATTCGTATTGGAATTTGGATTTTGTTCGGTGCTACCATGGGCATCTTGAGCAACTGGAACACTATTCTTCTCAAGCTGAGGGTAACCAAGTGATTGGTCGTTGCCGCGGCCCTCTAGTTTCTTGATGGTATCGGTGGGGATAAAAACACCAGGGACATAGTTCTGATTGGTTTCAGCCGATGGTATAGGTTCGCATGAGATGGTGGCCAATGCAAAGATGGTAGGAATCTGTATGTGAACAGAATTATAATTATATTTAATTAAAAAAACAACACTGTTGGCATTACAACTTGTAAAGAAAGTTTCAAACGGGAATTGGAAGCAAATTGGTTACATTATAATAATGTTTGTTACATAATTACTAAAAAAATTGAGGCCCCGGATTCCTGGGTATTGTCTACTGAAGAACACGAATGAAATGAATACACATGGTGAATTACTTACCAGTATTTTAGCGTACATCTTGACAATATAGATGCAACTGTACATCTTATAATGTACCTTTGTTTTTATATAAGCTATAGATGGTACAGTCAGTGGCATAAATATATTAATTATTTCGTAAATTTTGCCTAGGCCACAAGTTTCAAATATATATTAGCACTTTCTAGCTTATTACTTTGCTTCAAACTGCTGACGTTCTTTTTTTAATTTACATATATACTTGTATATATTTACCTTGCCATGTCCCTTTCGAAGCAGGCAGAGAGAACCAAATGTTGTTGATATCTGTCCCTCTTGCTGCATTATGTACATTTTTTTCTCAAATTATTATTAGTCAAAAACAGCTAACGAAGCATAAATATGTGTGTTATCTTTCTACCTCAAATGTAATAAACATTTGACGGTTGGACGGTCCCAACTATTTAATTATTCTATAATAGTTGTGAACCACTTTACCTACTACCTACATTATTTGAAATTTTGAATTTGGAATACGTTCATTGGCTGTTTTTCTTGACAACTTTAAATTATAATACGGTCATAGAACATCATTTATTAAATATTGTTAGTGTACATAATATTAAATGCGTATCCTCTATGATCTATATACAGGCGACTGTACTTAATTGAAGAAATACCTACTAGCTAATGGATGCTGCAATATATAGAAACGTGTCTTATACCGCTATGCGACGCCGTTGTGGTTTATAATGACGACTTATAAAATTAGGGAAATTGATCTACTAATTGGTGGGTTTTACTACCTACATACTAGTCCTATTAGATATTTAAAAAATCATAATAACTAAAAAAACCTAAAGGGTTACAGTTACGTTTTTATATTGGCAAAAGCATACAAACAAAACAAACGTGATGTGGGTAACGCATGTATTTTTTGAAATTATATAAACTCGGTGGAGGGCCTCGATATTCGCAACACAGTTTTATACTTCTGTGAATGTCATCGTTTCATCAGTGAATTATGTACAAAACATGTTTTCTGTTTTAAATAAATAAAAAAATAAAATAAATACAATGCTCTGGCAAAAAAAATCTAAACTAAACTTGAAATAAAATATTAGATATATTGTAGCGTAACAGAGCCTGTGCTATAAAAAGCACATATAGAAAACACCCAGTCCGATACAAACAATCATACTCATGAATACAAATGTTTGGACCATTGCTAGATCAAATCCGCGACCATCGGATGTAAAGCGGTGTACTAAATCGCTAGACATCCGAGGCTGTGAATGCATCTCTCTGACTAGCCTGTCTAAAATAATAGTCTTGAAGATATATTACTATTAGTACTAATAGATAGATATGGCAGACACGCAAGGTACAGTAATATAAAGAAAGAGATGACACAATTACATTGGTCTGTTATACCACCATATACCTTCTTTGTCTAATTTTGATACTCTGTAGTAAATGTCTCCTCATATTATTACACGATTAAACTATAATATTACATTAAAATGTGCTCTCGCCGTCGGAACGCGTGTAGCTAACATTCTAGTAATTACCCACTAAGGAAAGCTCCAGTTCTGAACAATTTTCCTTTAAGGTACCTAGTTCATAAAACACTATTTATAGGTCAGTCGGCTCGTAATAGTAGCTAATTATCGTAGTTGTACATTTTCTTTCTTTTTATATAAGTCTTTTTACTATTATATGTCTTGATTACTTTGTTGTCTATGAATTGCTATGGTGGTATAGAGGTTCAGCACGCTGCCTTGCGCCGTACCTCGTGTTCGCGGATTTGATTACTCGCACTGTACAATCATTTGTATTTATGAGTATGACTGTTTTTTTTTCGTACTACTCTAATGCTGTTGGCCGCATCTGGCCTTTACAGCTTCACCGGACGTTAGGGGGCGAGTGCAGATGGCACTCCAAACCCGCGGAAGGACTTATGGAGCGGCTGAAGGCCAACTCCTCGGTTCAGGCCGTCGTAATATCGATCCCCGTTTGAATTGGACGGGGGATCGATCGGAGGGGAGTATGACAGATTGTTTGTAGTGGTTTGGGTGTTTTCTATGTATCTTCTTTTTCTTCTTCTTAGCACTGTCACACTTTATGCGTCTGTCCTAATTTTGCAAGCACCAAGACCCGACAATAAAATAATTGCCCGACCCGACAATCAAGGACTGATTGTCCTGGATTATCGGGTCGGACATTTTTTTCTGTAACGATTAGTTTACTCATAAGATATAAGGGCAGAGGAAGGCCAAAAAAGAGATGAATGGACTGTGTGAAAGATGATATGGTAATAAAGTTGTTAATAGTGTTTAATAATAGTGTTTAGTTGTTAAGTGTGTTAATAACATTGTGATACGAGAATTTTATATATATGATATAAATGTGTTGGCAATTAGCTGTAAGTTTATATATTAATAATAATAATAATAATAATATTTAATCAGTTGTCTATTTATTTTTTAGCATGGTACTAGGTACATGGTGCTGTGTGACTCGTCCTGTGTTATTATTATTATAGATGTATTATTTATCTTATATACTATACAATTTTTAAAGACGCGTAATGGTTGGTGATAGAAGGGTAAAAATGTAGGGTTATTATTTAATGCCACATTATAAAAATATTACCAAAAAAGTAAAAAAAGTGAGAGTGTCTCTGTCGATGTTTCGTAGACGTTAATTTTTAATGCCACATTATAGAAAAAAAATTGCCCAAAATATATATATTAGCTTGGACAATCCTGATTTTCAGTGGGGTAGCCGATTCCACACACGAGAGATGCATATAACATTTAAAAAAATCGAAAATAATAACATTGTGATAAAATTTTATATATATGATATATTTTTATAAATATTGTTTTAACTGAGTGATTAAAAAAAAAATAAGAAAAGAGACAACACTGCCAGTATATTTGGTGTACTGCGCCAGTAGGTATAGGTATGTAATATTATGTTATCTGTGGTATAGATATTTGGTATACTGCCTCGATTCGCCGCGTTTACAATGTTTTTTTTTTAATGTAAATGCAATTGTTTGTGGCCTATATTTATACTTAAAATGTAAGCTACTTACTAGATGTACCTAGTTCCAACAAATTACGAGTTTATTCCACTTAGCTCATTACTTGAAAGTATGACGGACGTCACGTATCGGAGATTAAGGATAGGAACATGGTTAGAAATTACTATGTTCACCAGATAAGTCAATTTAGTTGGATTGAGTTTGGTCATATTAGGGTAATTTTCATGTGTAAGTATATAATGGCTATTTGATTGGATTTGTTTAGATATATCTCGTATAAACTGTAACTTGTCCCTTTTGAATTAATAAAACTTTCAAACAAATAAAAAAAACGCAATATTTTTTTATGTATGATAATGGAGTAATGTCTGCGCTAATTGTTTTGTACGTGGCACTACTGGAGGATGACAAAATGAGCATGAGGGCAGGTCAGTTAGCCCCAGACCCATTACTAACAATTTCATTCCTTTACAGTATCATATTCGGTCTATTTAGGAGCTACCATGTAATGGCCAGAGACGTACCTCAAACTTATACCGTCTTATTACTAAATAAGTTTTTGTAGAAAATATCTAACTTAAAATTCATAGCGCTGACAATGTTATCTGATTGAACAGAGATTAAGTGCGTAGCGGTTTCTATGTTGATTGTCGCATGCCTAATCCTTGTTGTTAATTAAATATAAGTAAATCAATATTTATTTATAAGAGCAACACAGAAGTTTCTTGCTTATTCTTCTTGTGATGAATCTGCATTCCGAATAAGCGGTAGAAAAAAAAAACTTTACTATTCAAAAGTGCTTGTATTAAGTTTATTTGAATAAAGATTGTCTATTTCTATTTCTAGATATACCTGTATTCATACTAGGAATAAACCAAATCTTAAAGTAATTCTTACTTCAGACTCTGTTTAAAGTAATTTACTTAGAGTTATTTTAGACGGCCTCTGTGGTCTCTGTCTGGGTGTTTACTATGTAAATTATGTATGTATTTACAAAAAAATATATATCTAAGTATTTGTATTAGTTGTCTAGTACCTACCCATAACACAAGCTCTCTTATCGTGGGACTAGATGGCGCTGTGTTAATTGTTCATGGTTATTTATTTATTTGTACTAGGAATAAACCAAGTCTTGAAGTAATTGTATTACAAAATGCTACGCTATTCCCATACAAACATATATAAATTGGAGAAAGTGATTCAATATTTTATCGTCCAATATGCGTCTAGGTTATTGCAGTCGTTCTGAACGATTATGTCGTTACTATTTATGTTTACTGCTAAATCTAGGCTGATTTTCACACGAGTCATAAACTAGATCTAGTGAAATGATACCACCACGTGAAATTCTAGTTATTACTAATGAATGCAAATGTTTTCAATTTAAACATTGTAACATAAACAACAAGGTCACAACGATAATTAGCGAATTATAATAGTATAATAAATAACATGAATGCATTTTCTAAGTGTCAGAAATGACACTAATTGTTCCATCTCACCTGTTTCTGGACAAGTAGCCTGCTTTGTAAACGCACCGGTTTGCGAAGTGAGAATATCCAGTGAAATTTTAGTACATAAACTTAAAATTATTATTACACAAGAAATAAATATATACATAACTATGTATATTCATAAATTTGTCACGGTTACTTCTACTACTACTATTATTACCCCACAACGCTTGATCGATCCCCGTCTAATTGAACGGGGATCGAATTTAAGACGGACTCAGCCGAGGTTCGAACCCTTAGCGGTGCTCGGTATCCATCAGTCGGGAGCTGTCCTTCAGCCGCTCCATAAGTCCTCCAGCGGGTTTGGACTGCCATCTGCCCTCGCTCCCTATCCTCCGGTGAAGCTGTAGAGGCCAGCTGCGGCCAATAATATTAGAGTAGTCCGAAAAAAAGCAACACTTTCTAATTACCTTAAAGTTAGCTGGGAGAGAATGCCATACGGCATGAAACTCGCCTCTTGTACAAGAATTATAAAAAACAATAAATAAATAAATAACATATAAAACAATCATACTCAAGAATACAATATTTGTATCTTGCGAGAATTGAACCTGACTGCCTATCAGACAAATGGGTTATGCTAATCCGCTAGACTATTGACGCCATCAAATTAAATGGTCAAATTGAAGTAACACCTAATCAACGTTTGAATAATATAAAACTATGCATGACGACTTCGTTACTATAAACCTAAATTTTATAACCATACTAAACTGACCCGGCAAAAGTTAATAAGCCATTTAAATAATTTCTAGTGAGTATTTTGTTTGTTAAATAAA